CGCGGCGGCTCGGCCTGCTCCGAGGCCAAGAGAGAGGGGATTGAGGGACGAGGGGGAACAAGGGCACCAGATGTCCCGCTTTAGTTCACCCTGCTGTCCCTGGCAGGACGCCGCGAAGCGCCGACCTGGTCTGATCTCAAGGGCGCGTCACGGACCAGCCCGTTGTTGTGTTGCGCTGTTGTCCTCGCCGACAACGCTCTCCATCATTGCAGCAGGCAAACAAAAGAAGACAGAAACCGCCACCCTGTGCAGGTGTTCGCTCCTCAGTTTGCAACAACATCCGCGCTGACCATGACATCACCGCGAACACCCACTCCGGAATGCAAACACTGAAACACGCGGCCTTTGCGACGGCACTGTGATCTTCCATGAGTCTCAGAAAGGAAAAAGAAAAAGAAAAATTGGTGTGCATTTTACAACACACATGATCTGCAACATTTGGTACGGCTTGGTTACGGCTCAGAATCAGTTTAACATTACGCCAACAAGCCTCATCTACTGCCGCTTTTTTCTTTTTCCCCAATGGAAAGAAGAAAGAGTTTACATTCCACTTCTATGCTTTGTGTACCGTAAGAACCCTGAGGCGTGCATGCCTGTACACATGTAAGCCCTGAGGTAGGTGAGAGTAGGTGCGTGAGAGAGATCTAAGGTGCAGCCAGACCCAGCGAGGCCACCAGACAACTGGGTAAACATACAACCCCCCGCCCCCCGCCCAGCCCGGCCCCCTCCACCTGACCTCCGTGCTCACATCAGTGAGCCTTCAGTACAAAGCCATTGGTCCAATGATCTATAGTTGATGTCAAACACTTCACAAAAGCACAGTCTTGCTCTCCTAATGAGAATACAAAAACCTCGAGCTCATTGCAGAATGCTCGAAATCCTTAATATAAATTATTGGCACGCCTCAATGCAATGCTAAGGAAACACAAAACACATTCATCTGAAAAGCAGCCCGTCGTATGGCTCCACGGACGGAGAAAAGACTCCAATCTAAATGGGATCCGGTGACTGATGGCGCCTATGATGAGGACAGGGTTAGAACATCCCGCAGTGAAGAGGTGCATTCCCATTACCGCGTCCCTCCGTCTCCGCAAACGGCTTCATTAAGCAGGCCGGTGCCGAGCGCTCCCTTGTCGAGTCCACGGGCGGCGTGTCCCCCGAGGGTCCGCCGGAATGTCTGAGGTGAAGTCCATTAACACCCGACCGCTTGTTTTTTGATCACTGAATAAAACAGGGGCCTTTTTTTTCTTTTGCGTCACATATATAAATAGCCTTCAGCTTAGAAGCACATTTCCTTCACTGACCACATTGCTCGGTTCTCTTGATACGTCTCCTCACAGGTGTTGATCTCCAGCCAGGTGAATTTGTCCTACGGGAAGAGCAACGTCACACACAAGTCTTCCTGCCAAAACTTGTCTAGAGAGCAGCCGAGCAGGACCGGATGTCCTCTCGGTCGTAGCTCGGAAGCTACAACCCGCTACTTCATCGTAACATCGGCCTAAATGCTGGAAACGATGACAACGGTCTACGTCTAAACGGTGGTGCGTGTGATAGCTTGAGGAGCTTTACAGAAAAAAAACATACATCCCGTGCCGGAGAGGAGTCCGTATCTCACAAGACCTGTCCTGCTCCTGTGGCGAATTCGGCGATCCTACGAGCAACCCGGGCCCTCCACCTCTCAGCCCATGACATCGCCCTCAACTTCCCCAGCACTTAGGCTCCCGTCATGTGTCATCGGAGGAAAAGCTGCACCCATGTCACCATTATTCGTCTGGATACAGGAACCTCTGGAATGTATCGGATTCCTGCCTCGAGGGGAGGCGCGGGGGAAACATTGTCCTTCCTTCCCCAGCGAGCCTCTCGCACTTCTCTCCCCTCGCGCTTCATTCACCAGGCCTGCTGGCTTCACGCCGCTCATCGCCCATCACACATGTGCTCACAATTTTGATTTCACAATAGAAGAATCATGTGGGAGACGGTTTACAGCTTAGGGAGCGTTTTTTTTGTTGCCTTCTTTGAATTTCTAAAAGGCCTGCACCAATGGGTATACACCCCACGGTCACCAACCCCCGGCTACATTTGCGGCTGGGTCACACTTCCGGTCTTGCCTTAGCACAACCAGAAGTTCCAATTAGACAGCATGTTTTCCCTCCAATGCAGCCACGCCGTATCTCCCCTCTCCAGAGAGCCACGGTGATGCCGAGCAGTACTCCGGACTGTAGTATTGAGTATCTCTGAGTCACTGGCCTGCGTAATTCAGTCTAGGGAATTATGACAGTGGAAAATCATTTCCCCGGGCCGGGGGGATAGGAGGCCATGGCTAATCGTTCAGTAATCTGATCTGCCTGCATACTGTAGCGTTGGGCCGCGCCGCTAGCCTAGCAAGCCGGTCACCCATGTGGACGCCCGCGATGCCTGCCAACTATCTGATGGAGGTCAACGCGATTCCAAAAACAACTCTCCAGGTTTTCCCGAGGATTACAGATGCTATCGGATCATTTGCTAATACTTGCTTGCACTGTGCCGTTTGAAATGTATTTACTCTGGTCTTGCTCCCGATAGCAGCCTAAGCCAACAAACGCCGCAGCCACATTCCAGGCAAGGAGCGTGCCCTTTAATACATACTCACAGGCCAAAGAGGTACAATCTTCATGCTGCATTCTGGTGCATTAATCCAAAAGTTGGATTTAGTGAGGAAACATCAGAGTTTGCCTGTCAAACAGCAGGATGTTTTGGGTGCACTTCCAATCGTAGCTGCTAGTATCTAGTGGAGCCGGTGGTGTTGTAGTAGTAAATGAATAAGAGCCATAGGGAGCAGGGCTGTGGCACAAAGCAGTGCTTATACCCAGCAGAGAGGGTTGTGGCAGGGGGGGGACTTGAGTTTTGGAAAGATGCCTGGCTTCAGCCCGACTTTAAAAAGAGGTCCCCCCCCCCATCCCCCCTACACACACACTGAGTGCAAATACAAGGGGCACTGACATGGAAAAATACAAGAGATGGCAAGTTGTTGGGCACTTAAGTTGCCAACAGCTACCTTGTGTAAAGCATTAAATGTGATGTCACTGCAATTCAACCGACATCCTACTCAATGTGGAGATCAACAGCAGACAAGGCAGTCAGAGCTTCTCCATCCAAGCCCAAAATTTGTACATGAAAAATTCTCTGCCATCATTTTCCATCCGGATAACCGGCCGAACGGTGTTTGGTGCCGTCGATCCGTCACATACTGTCAGGCCCACGGTGTTTTATCAACATCTGTGTGGAGGCATTGTAACTCGGTTGCAGCATTTCACAGGCACATATATCTGAGAAAAGAGATGCTGGTGCATGATCGAAAGGCTGAGGGAGCAGCGGCAGCCTCCATCGACAGAAAGCGCCGGATCACAGCACATCACAGCATGCCCGGCCGCCAAAGGGAGCAGTCAGATGGAGGGTTAGAAAAACAGGCAAACTGATAAATAGAGCGCAGCGCTAAACAAATGACAGCAATCAAACTGATTTTTTTAAATCTTATCTGCAAATGGATTAAGCCCCTACATTTTATTACCGCTCTCCAAACGATGAATGGGACAAACAACACATGGCTTGGGAACAGCAACAACGTGAGGCCACATAAAAGGCACGATACGTAAAAGCAGAAGGATGGCACTTCTCAGTCACACGAATGTCTCTTGCAGCAGCAGGAGAAGTGCAGGGAAAGCCCTTCTGACTTTGCCAAATGCCTTCTGAACAGTGAGTCATTCTCATTCTCCTTTAGTAATGCGCGCAAATCCCCGCAGCAGCAGCAGCAGCCCTCAGACAGGTCTGGACCTCCTCTTTGTTTGCTACAGAGCAGAGTGCTTTTAGTATTTAACACATGCAGCTGAAGGACGGTGGCGATGCACAACAAAAGGGCACCAAAAGCAGCCCGACACAGCAAAAAGATAAGATCTTATTTAGGAAAAGCACACGACCGTCGGCGCAACAAACACCCTCCCCGTGTAAACAACATACCGAAACACACAACTGCGTGCACGTTTGTGGAGGGCACGTCACAAACTACCCAACTTTTTAGGTGAAGTGAAAACGAATAGACTTTACGGTTAAGATCATTGTCTTTAAATCGCGGTGCATATAAACGTATTGGTGATTCCTACAGGTAGCTGCACGACGGCCCGATGCATCGTCCGTTCCAAGAACGCAGAGCCGGTAAACACCGACGATCATTAACGCAAGTTCCCCGAAACCATCGGGACAAATCGGATCACGTCGGTGCGGTCGCCGCATTCCCACGTTGATCTTTTACACCCCCCCCCCCCTCTCTCTCTCTCTCTCTGTCTCTCTCTCTGTCATGTGCGGTGCTATCAGATTAGGTGACCGGCAGTCGTATCGACCTTTCATCACAATTCGCACACTGAATCGTTTGTCCCTTTTTCCCTCCGTTCTAAAGGGACGCGCGAGCCGCGTGACGTTTGATTCCGAACAGCAAAACAAAGCTAACCTGGGGCGAGCGACGGACGATCCGCTGCACGTCGCAGCCGCTACGAAGTTACAACAACAACAACAAATAAAAAGAAAGAAGCAAGTTCCTCGCATGGCCGGTGCCGGGCTGCGTTAATGGCATCCGGCTGGATAAAGGAATTCCGAGGTTAAAAATCACAGGGGCGAAGCGGCCGGACGCGGCTCTTCTATCGGCTCTATCCCGAGCGCAAACTTCCCACCCGACGGCTCGCGTCGCAAAAACGGCGTCCCTCGTTTCGTCGTCCCCCCCCCCGGGACGCACCGGGGAAGAAGCCGAGCCTTCCCTCCACTCCGTCGCCGGGGCTTTGCGTCTCGAGCCGGGAGATAGTCAGGCCGAAAAAAGACTGGCCTCGCTCTCGGTCTGCGCGAGACAATGTTTCACTGGCCCGGGAGGGCGAGCGAGCGGCGGCGGCGAGGGGAGTGTGCTGGCAGGGAGGGGGGGAGGCTCTCGGTCGTGTGCGTTAGCTGTGCAAATGTGCGACTAAACCCCCTGTGCTCACCTCGTTTGCGGGTCCGGTTAGATTGGAGGGGCAGCCGGGGGTGGCTGGCGGGCTGGCTTGCTGGTGGTGGTGGTGGTGGGGGGGGCTACGCGGTCCAGGTGGCGGGGTTGAAGCGCGGGGCTCACGTCGTCGTCTCGGTCGCGCTGGCGGCCGTGATGTGGAAGCGGACTCGGCCGGGAGGAATCGGGAAATCTGAGAATGCCCCCCTCTCTTCTTCTTCTGCCTCTTTTTTTGCAGCTCAGCGCGCCGGCAGTGGCCCATATCTGTCGACAGGGGGCGCAAGCACGGCACCGTTTGGGCTCTGATATGCGCATGCACGCGCTGCACTGAACACCTCAAAGAAATGTTTATCTACATCTATAATCTCGAGTATAGTGAGATTACACAGCCCCGATGAGATTTCTGTGTGTGGCAATGTCTCTGGATTAAATCGTGCGGTGCATGATACTGGGATAATCCTGAAAGTTATTGTGAATGCTATTTTGGGGGGGGGGCAGTTCTATGATTGTCGTAGTGGTTTTGATTGTGATTGATTGAATCTGTGTGTCTGGCATACAAAAGAAATAGATTTAGCCTGTAATCAAAAATCACTTACTATAATGATACATGCAAAACGTTCGGAGATTACTTTTCTCTGATATTTACATTATATTCGCAAGGTATTGTTAAGGTATTATTGCTACAAATATAACATATTTCAGGGGGAACAGATGAATGAGGATGAAATACAAAACATCCGCAGGAGTGAGAATCTAATATGTTGAATGGAGGTAAGAAACCTGCAGCCGTGAGGTAATAGTACACATACATGTCCCCTGACCTTGTGACTTGTGAGGATGGTGATTTTGTTTACATAATGGCTAATTCTAAGAAAAATCAGTCCTTCAAAACAGCTTGGCCATCTCATTCACGTCACATGATAGAGGATACGAGGTCACAAAACTCAACCGGACCAAGAGGGCAGTGACTTCACCTCAGGACAGAACACAGGCCGTGCCACTGGATACAAACCGGCAAAGGAGGTTTTCCTTTTCACTTCCGTTGCTGAAATAGGATCACATGCTCATGTGTTAATCAATACAGCTGATGAGAACAATCCAACTGACTGTACCTTAAAGAAGCTGAATCAAACTCAAACATTAACAACACACCCAAAGTTTCCTGTCTTTTTGAAATGCCCAAAAAGTACAGGAGGGTTTCTTTTTTCCGACCGTATAAATTGAAGATGGGCTATGAAAGATTTGCCTGTTCTTCAGGCCTGGATCTAATCCCTGTCCTTTGACTCCTTCGTAAACCTCACCCTGACCTTAAGTAAACCTTAACTGAACCGCAACAGGTGGGTAGATAAACTGTAAGTGGTGCACAAAATTGGCTTATACAGCCTTCTGTCTGTGTGTCTTACTCACACATGCACACACATGCAAGTGGTGAAAAAGGTACTCACAGCTTCACTAAATCAAAAAATCCCAAAAGGTAGAAATACTTCCATTACAAGAAGAAGTCCTCAAAATCTAATATAAGTAAAAGTCCAATTAGTATTGTTGACCAAATGTAGGCCTGCATTAAATTTTGTAAATTGATCATATATTTTGTGTAAAAGCTTAATCTATAAAGTAAGTCAACTATCAGACGTTTGTGTTGGTGTGAAATGTAGTGGAGTAGAAATATAAAAGAGTTGCATTAAGTACAACTATATAGTAAAGGCCCATCATATCTGTTTTGTGAGATGTAAAATTGCTACAGCAAAAACGATTAAAAAAAAGATGAATCTAATCTATAACTAAGATCTACAGCTTTAAAGGTTAACTGTCGATACCAGAGTTACTTGAGTGTTTTTACATTCCTAATATTTTATTTTCCTCCTATAGTTGATATTTTCTTCATGAGAGTATGTCTGATAGTTTATTGAAATAGGGCGACACCCGAAGGTGAAACGTGGCTTTCTGCAGCGGTGCATTGTGGTCCGACACCTCTTGTGTCGTTCTTTGGTTGTTTGGCTCACATTCTGCAAAATGGCGACGTCCCTGGGATCCAACACCTACAATAGACAGAATTGGGAAGACGCGGTACGTTAAATTGGCATTATAGTTTACGCTACAGGACATACTACTAAATCACAGCAAGTATTCGTTAAATTCCGGGAAGTAACACGACCATTACATATACCGGTTCGCTACGAATGTGCCCGGTTCGCTTAGCAACTAGCTGGCTAGCCTACTGTTAGCTAACGCTAGCGAGTAAAAGCGTGGCTGCTGCCTTCCTAACACGTATCTTGAAAGCTACAGCACAACGTCGATTCATCGAGCACTACAGTTCCATCGGGCCCCACAGCTACACGCCACGGAAGATGAACGTCGAAGATTGGCCTCCAAAAGCACCTTATTTGATCATAAGTGTTTTGTGCTAAAGTTAGCTATCTTCGCTAATGAAGGCTAGCACTAGCCGGCTAATTATACTATTTAAACCAGTTAACCAGCACATTCTATTTTCATTCATTTCTGTATATTCCTAATCTAAACAATCCCACTTACCATACTGTTATTTTTGGTGGATTTATTAGTTTTTCGGTCGATTCAAATGAATGTCATTAACTTGCAACCGTTTTGAAAACGTTAGCTTAGCGAGCGCTCACCGGAAGGGACCAATCCTCTCGCCTGACAGTTCAATTTCGGCATTACGCCTCATATAGAAAAGGATTTCTTCGAAACACCGTTGTTCATGCTCAGTAATATTCCAACTGCACTTGATTCCAATCGTTGTTGTGGGAAACGAATTGATGTAACCACACAATTGGCTAAATCGATGTTGTAATATCTACCAAATCATCAATCCTCCACAAAATCTTTGGCCAATGTTAACACGCCATAATCGACACTTTGCAACGCTAGACCTGAGGACGTTTGAGCCACGTGAGCTGCTTATATTTAGGTGTTTGGCTGATGCTGTCATTGGGATGTAGTAAGATATGGTCATTTACTGTGGTTCGCAGATTGAAACTGCATGCGTCTACAGATGGCTAAGTAGAAGTGCGTGATTTCCATGTAGTCAAACATGGTACATTGCCACAGTGTACAAGGCAAAAGAGAATTTAATGCATTAGATCGTGTGCATCGACACAATGACGTTTTAATGTATAATCAATATGGTTCCTGATCTTAAATGAAAATGTTTTCTTTTCTTTTAGGATTTCCCAATTCTGTGTCAAACATGTTTAGGAGAAAACCCGTACATTCGAATGGTGAGTTCACATTACTGGATGATAATGATGTGGATGTTATTTTTTGTCCTGAACCAATCGGTGTGCAGGCTCATATTTGTTTATGCTTTGGGTTTTTTTTTATAGACCAAGGAGAAGTATGGTAAAGAATGCAAGGTATGTTTTGCATTCATTTATTAAATCTCTGTTATGCAGCACAACAAAGTTTAGATTGAACCTGTGACTCTATATTCCATGACAAAACATTTACACCGTACTACTTTCCCCATCAGATTTGTGCGCGACCATTTACTGTGTTCCGATGGTGTCCAGGGACACGGATGCGTTTCAAGAAAACTGAGGTCTGTCAGACTTGCAGTAAAATGAAGAATGTTTGTCAGACTTGTCTGCTGGACCTGGAGTATGGTGAGTCTCTGCAAATAACCCTGTGTCACCTGTAATCGTCTACATCTGCAAAAATGTTGTTTGTTTTACCCTCTTGTCATCACACTTTGTGTTTTACAGGTTTGCCTATCCAGGTCAGAGACACTGGGCTGTCCGTGAAAGATGAGGTTCCCAAGTCCGATGTAAACAAGGAGTACTACACGCAGAACATGGAGAGAGAGGTACAATTGCTTTCTAATGCAGTTCTGGTTTACATGATGCAGCTTTGAAGGCTAAAATTAGCTTGTGGGGTCCCCTGTACACATCTACTTGTACTCCATTCCAAGGCCTTTGAAAGTAACTCATTCCAATGTTTGTATTCTAGTCTGTTACAGAAGAGGAACTGTTTGAACGGGGTTGTACTTATTTTGACAATTCTAAAAACTAGAGAGTGTTTATGAACCCTCATTAGCACTTCAGAGGTTTGTTTCACCATTTAAGATTTCTTTCAAATGGGACAAAACAAGACCGTATTACGTATTTTATATATCTGTAAAATGTAACTTTTATTTGTTAATCTTGTGTGCTTATTTGGTCTTCTGTGTTTCTAGATAGCCAATTCTGATGGCACACGGCCAGTGGGCCAGTTGGGTAAAGCCCCCAGCTCTAGTGATATGTTGCTGAAACTGGCCCGGACCACGCCATACTACAAGAGGAACCGGCCACACATCTGCTCCTTCTGGGTGAAGGGAGAGTGTAAGAGAGGGGAGGAATGTCCCTATAGGTGAGCAGCACTTTAAAGTATGACTTTCTTCTTGTGGTTCAGTTACTGTAGCATGTTGTCATTGTGGTTGTCCTTTTCACACAGGCACGAGAAGCCCACAGATCCAGACGACCCTCTGGCCGACCAGAACATAAAGGACCGTTACTACGGCATCAATGACCCGGTGGCGGACAAGCTGCTGAAGCGGGCCTCAACAATGCCCCGCCTGGACCCACCAGACGACAAGTCCATCTCCACCCTCTACATAGGGGGTCTGGGAGATACCGTCACTGATGGAGAGCTCAAGTAAGGTTCTCATTCGTCTTCTTAAAACAAGAAACAAGGCCACTGAGGGTGGGGTTTACTCATTTTGTGGAATATATTACAATGTTTATTGACATAAAATGATTGATGTTCCAGTGTTTTTGATCTGTTGAACATTTGTTTTATTGCAGGAGTCACTTTTACCAGTTTGGGGAGATCCGCACCATCACCATAGTCCAGAGGCAGCAGTGTGCTTTCATCCAGTTTGCCACTCGACAGGCAGCTGAAATGGCTGCTGAGAAGTCCTTCAACAAGCTCATCATTAATGGACGCAGGCTTACCGTCAAGTGGGGAAGGTGAGAGTCTAATTGAGAAGGTATACGTTTATCATTAGGGTCTCTTATCTCCAACCTCATCCCCCCCCCAACACATGCTCCATTTTTATGCAATCTGTATGCTACCTGAAAAAACTGCCCTTTGGATTTCTTGGCATTCATGCAGCCATATTTACTGGAGCAGCATAGGAGGAAATGTGAAGATGTATAGTGATACTTTGCGCTAGATGGTGTTCAGAGAACATGTGTTTGACTGTAACACAGCAGACTGAAAGAGCTAAATCACCACAAACAATGTGTGCAAGGCTGGACACCTCTCTTCATTCACACTATTCTGCGGTGTGAAACCGAGTAAGTGGGGGAATTATTATTTACTGTACAACTTGTGGTGTTTCTTGTTTTTAGGTCTCAGGCAGCAAGAGGGAAGGAGGGCATCAAAGAGGGCGTCAGTGAGATGGGCACCAGACTTGACCCTGTACCTGGATTGCCTGGTGGTAAGTCTGCAAACACAGAGAGGATTTGTGTGTGTGTACACTTATAGTGACGTAGCTTCATGGTTCGTTCATACGAGCGCAAAGTCAATGGCGCAAATATATCAACTCTAATCCGCAAAATCGTTTTGCATCTGTATGCAATTATTTCGACATCCACTTTTCGCCATATATGGCAAACAAAACATTCTATTTTTATTTTGGATTAATACTATCTAATAATCTAATAAACCAGTCGACGTGTGGCTTGATAGAGTGACTACACCTCGAAGAAATCCACGGAGCACCTCCGGAGGATGTTATAAACTCAGGCTATAAACTAACATCCTTTGGGAAGACTTTGGGAAACAATGGCTGCGTCATAAGTCACTCCTCCTTTCCAGGGCAAATGAGGCAAATAAACACAAATAGTCCACCAAGTAGCGTTTGGTGTGAACGCACCTTCTATTGGTGTAATTTCAAGTAGTCTCTCATGTAAACCGTGTCATACATACTGGGTAGTGATTAATACTGGAAATAAAGGGAGCTGAAATGTATTACTTTGTTATTTACTTTCTTTAATCCTGTCTGCTGTAGCTCTTCCTCCACCACCAGCTTTGGACGAAGAAGCTCCTGCAAACTACTTTAACCTGGACCCTGGCACCGCTCCTTCAGTCATCAACATTACTCTGCCTCCACCTCCTGGCATCAACCCGCCTCCTCCAGGTAAAGGCCAAACTGATCTTATCGGTGCAGCTTTCATTTCACAAAACATCTCGAATATAAAATGGGGACAATCATACGATTATCATATAATAATATTATTATTAATAATCCCATCAACTTTATACTTCTCTAAATGAAGGTTATGCTGTTCTGTTTTACATGTTTACACATTTTAGATTTGTGTAAAGCTGCTTATAAGAATGTATTTTTCTGTTTCTGGGCACGCCTAATGCTAATTTCCTTTTCATTTGCTCAAACAGGTTTTGGCCCTCCAATGTTCCACCCCATGGCTCATATGGCTCCACCAATGCCCCCTCCAATGAGCATGAGGCCACCAGGTCAAATCCACTACCCCTCTCAGGACCCTCAGCGCATGGGTGCCCATGCTGCACACGGCTCTCGTCATGGTGAATGACGTGCAAAGCCGCACTGCAATTAGGTCTCATTGTTTTCCTTTCGTCAGACCAATTCAATTCATGTGGTCTCAGTGGACCTGAAACCCGCAGACTGCTTCAAGGAGGAAACACGTCTTTCTGGATAACAGTGATTTATTATGCCGCAAACGAAATGAACCAGCACCATCTGTGTCGAGAGGCGACAACTAGGATATCACAAGACGACTTTATGACCAGTCTTAGTTAAAATATTCCAGGGTGGCATCGGCAGACATGTGTACCAGCCGATGTGATGGGAGCCATGTTGTTTTACAGAACTCCTGTGGCTTGAGCGTTGTACAGATAGAAGTGCATACTGTCAGTTAAACTTGTATTTGTCATATTGTGCAAAATGGGTAAGAATCCTGAGCATTTTTTTAAAAACTTTCAGTTACTTTTTTATTTGACACAATCTTATAGCATAATTACATAGTTTAATTTCTTTCAATGTTCTTTTCGTGTGTCATTAAAATGACTCAATTTTGTCATTGATGTCTGCAGAGTACCTTTTTTATTAATTTGGTTTTGCTTGTTTCAGGGTTTTCAGGTTTATCTGGTATTGCCCTCACACACATATTGGGAGAAATATAGGGGAAATTATATATAAAAATTGTAAGGCTCATCAGATGGAGAGTGGGAGTTGGAAAAGAAGGGTGTCGGGTATTGACCGGATCAGACTCCGCTAAGGATAACAAATGGAAACAAAGCGGTTTAACCCCACAGTGTTGTGTTGGTAGTGACGGGATTGAGTTCCCCTCATCTGTTCTAACCTGTAAGCCGTAGCAAACCACTTTAAACATGCAGGAGAGCAGCGAGCGTCGGCCAGTGCTTCAGTCTTTAGCTGATCGCCCCCCTTTCATAGTTGTTTAGATTCTGGGTTGTAACGAACACCCCATCCCCTCGGTGCCCTGTTGAAGTTGGGCCGTCGGCACATGCCGTCCAGAACCACGTGGGGCAACTTTTGGGATTCCACTGCCTCAAAAGCGACTGGGGTCTCCCTCTGGCTGGCCGTGGCTGCGCTGAACGGCAGGGCGGACCTGAAAACAGAGGCGGGTTGTTACTGAGCAGGCTCAATGCATTGTGGTTCTGTCTTTGCAGAATACGATCCCAGGTATCGTATTGCTGGGGCGGCTTTTAGGTGCTAAATGCTTCCCAGATTGGTCATCTTTTTTTTTTTTTTTTTTCCGAGTTTAGATTTCTCTAAGGCTTTGCAATGCCGTCGTTATTTAATGGTCGTAAACGGACTCTTCACTGGTTCAGACCAGCTGGCAGAAGACGGTGATTGACAGCTTTTAATTGAGTCAAGTCCGAGTTTGTCTTTCATACGTTCTCCATCTGCCCGAGCTTAACCTTTTGTCCTGACATACGGCCTCTCGTGTGACGCGATGCCTTGTGTGCCACAAGGAAATTGATTCCCTTTCGTGCGTAATTTGTTTTGGGGGGAGGATAAGAGAGGGGGGGGGGGGGGTATTAAGTGTATTAAAAGCCAGCATCCAGCAAGTGGATCATCTTTCAAGAGCTGGAGTTCAAAATAGCTGTCGTGCAACCCCACTCCAAGGAGGTGCAAGCCAGATGCTCCTTTCCAACCTGTGGAAACCTGGAGTGGAGCCGAGGGAAGCGGCGATTGTGATTCCGCGGTTCGGTCATTTTGTGGGTCTATTTAAAGACGGGAGGCCTTCGCTTCCAACTGAACCGGATTTAACTCTTCAGCTGAAGTGATTAGCAGCAGATTTTACCTGTTGAAGCACCTGTAGTTGGACGGTTGCTGTCTCTCTGGGAGCCGGGGCAGCTGGGTATTCATGGCGTCCAGGAGCTCTGCGTTGTCTCCCAGAGCTTCGCTCCACGGGGAGCTGTAGGATTTAGGGGTGACTGTTGTGTTGAACTTCTCGTGAGGGACGTTCTTCAGGGGACCACAATATCCTGACCGAAACAAGTTGAATGTTGTGAATTAAGTGACACCGAGGTTTCTTCCCCTTCAGTGCAGTCTTAATAAGAAAATGGATAGTCTTTTATTCCTGGAAAACTAATGACAAAAACCCCATTAGATCACTTTAATAAAAAGCAAGCCCAAGCAGCGCACAGACCGATCTAATATTCATCTAAATCTCTTGTATATTACTCCTGTCAACAACCCAACCGACAGTAATTAGATCTCAGCGTGAATCCCTGATAATAAACGGAGCTTAGCTCACCGTCATTCATATCAGGACCAATACACACAACAGCACTTAGAAAGGTCGGTCACGTAACCGATTTCTGCAAACTGCCATCCCTCCTGGCACCCAGTTAGACATCTAATCCGTTTGCTCAACACATTTCTGTATGCAAAGCAAAGCGACGCTTGCATGCGCTGCTCAAGCTCTTGGCACAGTGGGGATTTAGTCCTATGACTTGTGTCTATTTCTTCATCATTCGTATTCACCTGGAGCGAGGACATCTGGGCTGCCCTTCTTTGCTACAGTCTTCTGAAGGTTCATGACCAGGCTGTGCTTACCAGGGACGGAGAAAGCTTGGTTCTCTTTCCCGTCCTGCGGGGGGGGAGGATTGGCCTCTGGATGGATCTGGGGAGTCAACACACATCTGTGTATGTCTACTTCCAGTAGCTTTGTCACATGCACCAAAAAAAGAAACAACGGATACCTTTTTATAATGACAATAAACAAATACACATGTAATTATCCAAATGTTTTTTGCGAATATTCAGGTGTAGCGAAAATGTTATTTCCTGTCTAATTTCCCAACTGACAAAACTGGTTCAAAGGGATTTCGACTGATACTGTGATGAGCAGTGAGAATGAACAAATTGTGTTCGGGCTCGTCATCTATATTTACAAAATGCTACAGTACAAATGAAAACACCAAACTCTAGATACTAGTGTCATATTAACCACGTCAGTGTTTTCTTGTAGAAAGAGAAACTCAAAAATACCATTTTATGAAGAGTTCATTTAGTTTTGAATTACTACATTTGCATGAGGTAACTATCTTGTGTGTAGAGGTGTATGTGTGAACGGGAGTCGCCATGTGCATCCTCTCTTCCCTTACAGTGTTGGTGTTGTAGGCGTCGTTGGCCATATTCTCCAGCGTGAACCTCTCCACCCTCTTCTGTCTCTCCTGAAACATGCGAGAGCCTCGATTAGATGGAAGGTTGAGCTCCTCCATCATCACGTCCTTCGGGACGCTGATCTTCTTCCCGAGGCTCTGACCCCCTGGCACAACACCACGGACAAAACGGAGCGGCTTTATTAATAAGTCATTACGTGTAATGTCCTTTTTGCATTTTCAAAACGGCAGGATGAGAGAAGAGAAATCTGTGTTCTTAAGCGGCGTGGCATCAGACTAGCTGGTTTCCACCCTGAATAAATGCATCGGGACGTTTAGTTGTTAGTGCAAAGGCATTCTAATCTATAAGAACAGCAACTTCCAGGCATTTGGAAAGAGAAGGGGAAAAAAAACAAACTGGTAAGGACCCGTGGCAAATCCTAATGTCTCCTCTGATCTTGTTTCTGACTAAACAGCTGAGGGCAACTGAATTTAAAAAAGAAACGTGTGGAGCATCATTAAGTCGGTCTCCACACAACTGAGGGTCTCTTCTCGTGTTGTACCGCAGAATGCCGGAGGGTCTGAAATAGCCTCCAGATGATGTCGAGGGTTGCGTAATGTTTGTTGCGGTTCAAGGTTGCACGGGTAACATGGCATAAAAATAAAAATCTGTGGATGAACAGCTGATGGAGAAGAGAAGATGGCCTTCTTTCTCACACGTGGAATTTGCAAGGAGAAGTCTGGGCACGTTGCATCCTCCAGGAGCTGCCTTTGATCGGCCTGCGTAAAATTCAGCGGCGGGAGTCGCACCCTGCTGACTTTAGGGGACTTGCTGGAGAAAAGCGTGAGGAAACAAACTGCGATGATCTCTGCGCGAATGTTTGGGGTATTTTGCGCAGTGGCCCTCCTGGGATTTGCATGTAGAGCACGACATCAAACTGTGGCCGTCTGAGCATGTACACACATTTGTTAAAAGATATGTTAACCAGTATGTAAAGTACCCCGTTTGCTAGCTTAGGACCAAATCTGATGTGAGTGTTTGAGTTGTGTGCTGACGTAGACTTGAGTCTGATGTCAAATCCATGCACATCATGGATCCTGCTCATACCTCCCCTGACCTCCTTGCACAGAGCCTTAGCCTGCAAGATCCTCTGCTTGGTCATGTCATCCAAGCCTGGCTGCATCGTCATCATCATCTTCCTCTGATGGACATGGGAATCATTTTGTTATCACTGCAAATCTCTTTTAATAGCACTTCTTATTAAGCAACATGTAAGGAAAAAAGGTATATTAAGGGAATGACTCAAGTTACATGTTCATGTACTTCACCTTCATGGGAGCAAACAATGCCTCAACTCTTATGTACATTAAGTTTTAAAATTCACGTCTGCTTTTATCGTGACTTTTATGATTTTCTTTTTTTTGCATTAGTTTCATGATGAACTAGAAAAAATGGGAAGTGTCCCATTGCAGTAGAAGCACCGGGCGTGTTTCCAATTTAAAGCTGCCTCAGCCGTCCGTCCAGCGTCTCAGAAATCTACATACGGTTCTCTAACGGACCTCGAAGCTTCCACACTTTGTACTCTTTTAAATCACAAGTGGCGCCTTCTCACGCTTTAATAATAAACTATTATTAAGGGCGTACACTCCCCCGTCCCTCGGACCCTTACCCGTGTCTCCGGCCCACCCGTCGGGTGCTGAAGCTGGTCTGGGTGGCCGTGGGCTTTATCCCGTCCTGACGCTGGGATGCCTCCACGCTCCGCTCGGACTCTCCTCAGCGCAGAGGGAGCAGCCGGCATAAAAGCCGTCCCGGGATGCCTGGGGGGCTTACCTCACCGGGTTATTTTAGCAGAGGCACATGAGAGTGAGGATGGATGGAGGGAGTGTTTAGGAGGGCTATAAAGGGCGAATAAGGGGAAGGCGCATGTATAAAGATTTACATCCAGAACACAGGCTTCTTTGATATGATAAAAATCTGTGTTTGTGTTTGTGTGTGTGTGTGTGTGTGTGTGTGTGTGTGTGTGTGTGTGTGTGTGTGTGTGGTAACAGCTGCTGTCCAGACAGTGACACTGAGCACTCAGAGAGGCCAAGAGTCCACGCTCTCAGGCGTAAACATAGACACACACAAACACAATGTCTGTGTCCCCCCCTTCTGGGAAGCACTTTGCTCCACCACAAACACTTAGTTGCTTTCAATCACACCCGCCATGTGTTTTCCACACAGTTTTACAAGCACTGCTGTAAAATTGAAGAGGTCACTGAGATCAGACGACGTGATTCGGTTTAGAAGTTTGGTGTCAAAGGTTGAACCTCTGATGCCCTTTTTTTTCACACTGCTGACAGTTTGGGGCATTCTGCATACAACAATGTAAGATATGATAATAAATCACTCAGTGGGTCTGCCGTTTTGTTTGTCTTTTATTCCTAAGAGTTGTGAATTCTAAATTAAGATGAAAGAGATGAAAAAAATGCCCTTTGACTTTATATTTAGTCGGCCTTTATTAAGTCAAGTTAGTTTTTATTGAGCGCTCACAAATTGATTTATTGAGCTCAGCAGGAGCCTGAAGGAAAAAAGCATTTTCCTTATCCCTACTGAGATTGGATATTGATTTTGCAGCTGCACCATCCACAGTACCACCACCCACCCCACCCACCCAGCGGGAAGCCTCCCGGCATCTAAAAGAAAATGTGGAGTCACCCTGAGTCACAGAAAGAAACCTTGAAATACACAGCAGAAGTTGAAAGGTTTCTGCCCATTAAATGTTTATTGAAGAGTATTGGTTCAGTAAAAAATCTTATTTGATTTATAAAAAGAAGCCCCAGGAGTGGAAAAGCTTTTGTGTGGCTCTGTATCCAACGGAGCTTTAGTGTTTAGAATCAATCCGTCCCTTCCATTCTATTCCCAACCTATATTTCTTATTGCACGCCATCACCAACAAGGTTTTTTTTTTCAATGACATTTGTGTATCAATAAGATTTGCTTAAAAGGGACAATAACAAGTTCTTGTGACACCTGTGTTTGAGAGGCGCAGTGTGTTCATGTCACGCAGAGAGCGGAGCAAAGCCACCAGGCGCTGACAGCCGACGGCAGAACAAAAGACACCCGTTCAGACTCAAGGGCCCGCGTGATCACGACACCTTTAAGACCGTTTGCCCTGTTGGCCTTCAGATGAAACCTGAGGTAGATAGCTTGTGGGAAGGATAGGACGCTAAAAAACTCCACAGGTAGTGTTGATAAGCAACAATATCCAGCACATTACTTTTTATAGCTTCATGCCGAAGGATAAACGCGTTGAAATTCAGCCCGCGGCGCGGATCGTTCTGAACTTTTCCTGCTCGCTTGCAGGGGCCTTTGGGAGGGCCGTTGGAAGCCAATCCGAAGAGGCGCAATGTACGGGCTGCTGTGTGAGAGTCTTCACGACTTCATCAAAGAGTCGTACGGGGACGACGTGTGGAAGCTGGTCAGAGAAAGGGCAGATGTCAGGTTACACTCTTTTGTCACCCACCAGGTACGGTATCCGAGATGAATCAGGACACTGCGTGTGTGCACCGAATAGTGATATTTGTTTGAGAGCCGTGCTGACGGCATCCAAGTCAATCTGACTTCAGCTTTCGTCACTTTGTCTGAGCTCCGTAGCCCTGATGTCAAGAGGAGTACTTTTATATTAAATGTGTATATACGTGTGTGTCCTCAGGTGTATAGTGAGAGTGTGATTCCCCGTATTGCAAAGGCTGCCAGTGGAGTGACAGGGACGCCCTACAACGAGCTGATGAACTCCTGGGGGGTCTACTTCCTGGGCTTTGTTGGGAAGTACGGCTATGACAGGATCCTCAAGGTGAAGAAAAACAACTCAACCCTGTCAGGGTTGTGTGTTGTTAGATGTGTGAGGATATTACTAGCCAGTGCGCTGGGGCTCCTTTAAACTGCTGTCAGCGAAAGATTTTTCTCAGCGTCTCATATATCATCTTGTGTCTTATTATTGAAGAAGGAACATTTAACTGTCAAGAAATGTCCAAATATCAGCAGCCAAGAGCAAGATTTCTTGATTTGCAGTCGATTGCATGGCTAAAGTAAAAAAAAGGCTCATCCTTTCGGCCCAAGACGAAAGCTAATAAAAGTATAGTAAAAAAAGGGAAGAGCAAACCTTTGAAAGACCTGACTGTCCCCATCCGTCTCCACCTCCAGGTGCTGGGCCGCCATGTTCGCGACTTTGTCAACGGCCTGGATAATCTCCACGAGTACCTGCGCTTCAGCTACCCCAAGGTGCAGCCGCCGACCTTCTTCTGCCAGGAGGAGTCGGCCACTGGAGTCACCCTCCACTACAGGTCCGAGGCCACGTGTGGAACCATCAGACATCAGACTTAAAGAACTGGCCGATCATTCAGGGAAAGCTGTGCGATTCATTTCTATCGGGCTGATATCGAATTGTCTCTCCCTCTGCGACCGGCAGGAGCAAGCGCAAAGGCTACCTGCACTACGCCATGGGGCAGCTGAGGCAGATGGGGAAGCAGTTCTACGACACCGACATCCATGTGGAGGTGCTGTCCGAGCAGATGGTCGGAGACTACTCCCATGTCACCATGAGGTAAAGACGCACACACACGTACAAAGCTGTTTAAGAAAGTGTATAAGTAAAGGTTTGAAGTACCGTGAGTATTTCCAGCTTATGTCATACTCTTCGGAAACCATAGCTACATTCAGTCCTGTGAATGATGTATGATAATATCATTGAAGGATAAAAAGACAATTTCCTGTTTACATTCAATGCGACAAAATGTGTTTTACCGTGTTGTGTTGGAACTTTAATTAAAATAAAATTACTTTAAATCTAATAAACACATTGATCTGTGTGGGTTTGTGCAGGTTGAACTTTGACAACTCAGCCTACCGTTACATCATGAAGGAGGACGAGGAAGAGCAGGAGATCTTGCCCATTACCTCAGACTTCTTCTTTGAGGTCTTCCCCTTTAACATTGTCTTCAGACAGGTGATCCTATTGACTCACACCCGTCACCTGACCCAACGAATGAAACAAAGCCTTAAATGAACAAAATCACTGCAATAGTTTGCCTCTTTAGGACATGGTGGTACACAACGTGGGCTCGGGCCTGTCCACCGTCTTCCCTGATCTGGACGGAAAGAAGATCAATGACGCTTTCTTGCTGGCTCGCCCCCTAGTGGAGTTATCCTGGAGCATGGTAAGACACCACCCCAGTTTAACCACGGCACTCTCCATATACTGTAAGTCACAAAGCATCAGTTGTGAACATAATAATATTAATAACAATAAGACAATACTGTCTCTGAAATCTGTTTACAGATCATTTCCCACCCCAACAACCTGTTTGAGATCATGTCCAAGGAGCCTGTGAAGAGAGAGAGGAACCTTCACAACCGAATCCAGAGTAAGAAGCAGGGTTGGGTCTGGTGGGCCTGGACTGAAATGTACATACATCAGTTTCCCAGCCTTTGGTTGCCAAAGACTGAATTTAAGTTTAGTTGATTAAAATAAAAAGAGCAGGTTTGCAGTAAAACACTGCTGAATGGAAGTTGAGAGGTTCGTAGGTCTTGCAGATGCATAATTGAAATAGTTTGAAGCTTTAATGCAAATTGATCAAATCTAGAGGATCTGATCCCAGCCCTCGTTGTCATTGGCTGGATCTGAATGTGAAGCTCTACTGTTCCAGTAACAGTCCACCCTGTTCTTCCACAGATTCTGACTATGAAAATGCCAACCGCTCCGCTGACGTAGATGTGGAGCTCATGGCTTTCCAGTCCATCATCGGAGATGATTTCAAAGGTAATGTCTCAATGTTCTCCAAAGAGACAATCCCTGAGAACATCAGCCCATTGCCCTTCTTATTGGGAGGTTGTAGCTTTAGCCAGCAGCCGGTTAGCTAAGCTTAGCATCCAGTTGGGAAACCGCTAGCCTGAGTCTGCTCAAAGGCAAAAACAAAGAACAATTTATGGATTCATAGTGGTGACATGGGTGGGGGCTGGCTCTTGACTGGGTCCAATTACTTTGTGAAGTCTTGTTTTTCTGTGTGGCTGCCAGGCAACCTGGAAGTCACTGTTTCCATCCCAAAAGGTCGCCCCGCACAACCGCTCATTGTCTTCGACTTAAGACAGAGGCAGGTCAGCTGCGGCCCTCGTGCTAAGCTTACGCTAAACTCCTGCAGGCTGCAGGTTCATACTGAACATACAGATATCCGTTATTGATATCCGTTTGTTGAACTAGTTGAACTATACTAAAGTGTAACAAAGTGTCGTCAGAATCTGCAGCTATCTATATATAACAAATATCTCTAAAAGGTTGTCTTGTTGGTTTTCCCCCGTGCTGCTCATTCAGACGGTAACAGTGCTAACGCGATGGAGAGTTGGGGCGACGGGAGCCGTTGCCTAAAACTGAAAGGACAAATGAGATACATGCCCGAGTGGGAGTCCATCATCTTCCTGGGAACTCCTGTGTAAGGTCCAACAAAAACACACGCACATCCAGAGACACCGATATCCACAAAGAAGAGCTGCAGCTGAAAAATAAAAAGCAGCAAGAGCTTAACTGAATTAGAAGGCTGGAAATAAAAGCCTGGGCAGCGAATCAAATTGGGGGCCCATTCTAACAGCACTTACCATGCATGAAATGAGCTGCTAATTAGCTTGTAATCAGACAGTGCTGCTCTTGTGAGCCTAATGGAAACCCATTTGCAACTAGGAGTGTTTTCCTCAGAGTACATTACCAAAACAGCCGCCCCCCCTCGTCTCAAACCTTTTGTTTTGTAAGTGAATGCCCTTATATCTGCATTGACAAAACTCCTCAAACGTTAAATGCAACTGCTTTTATTATTAAGTAAAGGAAATTAAAAATAAAATCTCTCAGAACCGTTGTATTTAATTGTTAGCTTTATATACATATTGCTATTCTTATGTCTAAATACACTGCTTTAGCCCATATACGTACTATCATTGTCATGGTGTGTCTTTCTTTATAATTTACTATATGTGTGTGTGTGTGTGTGTGTGTGTGTGTGTCTAGAATGGAGAGTCTGAGTGCTATGTTCAAGACCGGCCTGTACATCAATGACCTGAGCATGCACGACTCCAGCAGAGACCTGGTGCTGGCGGGCACACAGCAGTCAGAGGAGCTGAAGAGAGCTCTCATACAGGTTCGCTCTGCAAACATTTGGTCTCGTTTTACACGTGTGATCGGCTGATCGCTTGTCACTCTGCAAAGTAGCGCAGAGGCCCTTCTTTCTGTCTGGCAGCCCCGGATGACACAAAGAGACACAAACATCTGTCGTTTTATTTCCCATTTTGAACGCAGGAGCAAAAGAAGTCCAGTAAGCTGGAGGAGAGCATGAAGATGTTGGACTACGAGATGAAGAAGACCGATGACCTCCTGTACAGGATGATTCCCAAGCCGGTGGCAAAGAGGCTGCGGAAAGGAGAGCCGGCCGTGAACACTTGTGAGGTCTGGATCGTAGCTACCATATATATATGTATATATGTGTATATTCTGTATATAGCTAGAAATAGTTTGACACTTATAGCACCAAAAAACAACAGAGACAACCTCTTTTTTTGCTGCTTTCCGAAACACCCGTTTAAAATTGCGGAAAATTAGATGAGGAGATTGATACCGCTCATAGAGCAGTGAATGTGAAGCTACAGAACATCTGGTGGTTAGCTTGGTTTAGCGCCGAGACTGTAAACAGCGAGCCTGGTTCTGGAGCAAAGGCCACATAGAGCTGAAAAGGTGCTTTGAAGAGAACCAGCCTACTTGTTTACAGGATGAACTGTTTTACCGTTTCCATTGGGTTTTTTTAACCAAGCCGAAGAGCTTCATAAGGCTCCTACAGATAAAAGAGACAAATACAGACACGTCAATCTTCTCAAGTAATTCATGTGCACTGAAACACAAACATTGACTCAATGATTAAAGGGTTTATTTTTGCATCTATGACTCATCTGGTATTCAGGGTTTTTCCATTGCTCAGTGTAGATAGACACTCACACACACTCACACAAAGCTTTTTACTATCTGAGACATTCTGCTATGAAAGAAATCAGGAAAATCAAGAGTGACCTCTTGATGATCCATAACAGTGTTGATATAAAATATGACCTATGAATCAATGACTCACTGGTTGTGTGCGTTTGTGCAGTAACACACATAACATCAACACCTTTTTTTCACCCAGGTGTTTCCAGATGTGACCATTCTTTTCAGCGATGTCGTGGGATTTACACGCATTTGCAGCCACATCACTCCGATGCAGGTGGTCTCCATGCTGAACACCATGTACACGCTGTTTGACACGCTCAGCGAGAAGCACCGCGTCTTCAAGGTTTGCGCGTGAATCCCCTTTGTCTCATAAAGGTCTACTTTCTCTAGAAGTGCGTGAGAGCTGTGGCTTCTCTCGTTTCCAGGTGGAGACCATTGGAGATGCCTACATGGTGGTAGCCGGGGCTCCGGAGAAGACAAAGTACCACGCGCACAACATCTGTGACATGGCCCTGGACATGGTGCGCTCCATAGATCACCTGAAAGACCCCTCTAACGGCAACCACATACAGATCCGTGTTGGTGCGTGGGACACAGGAAGACTTTGTGTGTGTGTGTGTGTGTCCACGTCCGTCTTTGAGTGAAGGAACATTGTTGTTCTGGTTGCAGGGATCCACTCTGGGATGGTTGTGGCAGGTGTGGTGGGACATAAAATGCCACGTTATGGTCTGCACGGGGACACAGTCCACACCGCATCAGCCATGGAGAGCAATGGAAAGGTCAGCTGACTGGGTCTGTCGCTATGACGACTTAACTAAGAGCTCGCTGGGCTTTTGTTGTAACTGCCCGGGCCTTTCTCTGATGCAGGAAATGCACATTCAGCTCAGCAGCGCCACCTACGAGCACCTGAAGGGGAGTCACTTTATCTTTGAAAGGAGGGGCACCATCACCATCAAGGTTAGAGGTTCATTAATTAACCACATGAATTACCTTCACTAAAACGATTTGGTGTTGAAGATATGACCAACACACTGTCACGATGGGGCTGAGAGTGTTCTGATCCGCCCCAATCAAAGCAGTAAATACTATCTGCACATTATTATACATTACCTACTTAAAGTGTTGAAACTGTAATTTGTGAATTTGTGTAAACCTTTGGACCACATGAAATGATAATAACTCTGGGGAGTCAAACTTTGTGTTCAGAGCTCATAATTGTGGCTTTGCTTGTTGATTAACCTTAATCTGTTTTATCACTGGGTCTGACTTTGAGGCTGCACGTTCACTGAGAATGCCAGCAAAGTTACTCCCAAAGGTTTCTAAGGCAGCTGATCATTTTTCATCAGGGTATTCTGATTAATGGAATCTGCCGACTGCAATTTCACTCCATCTCGTTAACAGTAATTGCCCCTTTGAGCACATGCCTTTGAATATTTGTGCACATACGTCCAAACCTTATTCTAACTTTTATTCTTTCTCCTCGTCCATTGCAGGGGAATGTTGAAATTGAGACTTACTGGCTGAAAGGAAAGAGAGACAAGGACGGGAACGCTCAGGCAGCGTGTCCTCAGTTTGAGACCCACACGATCAGTAAGGTCGACATATCAAGCCCCGAGGCCAAAGGTGATAAGGAGGCAGTGGTAAGGGATCCACCGTCCGTGGATGGTTTGCACTCTAATGTGCTTCATTGCCGCCGTCATCATCACCATCAGCTATGTAATTCCCAGAATTCTTGCCCCCAGGGTTCCTCAATGGCGGCAGGGCAGAACGAGAATGATGTGAAATCTCTTCGCTCTCACCGTATCAAGATGGAGATTTCAGGCCATAATCTGGAGGAGTCGATGGCTCGCTGCCGGGTGGAGGAGATGTCTGTTCATAAGGTGAGTGGGATTTATTGCTGCCAGAGATTTCGGGACTTTCAATGACTCTGATTTAATTTCAACTTCTAATCATTTCTTTCTTTTCATTCCCACGACGTCACGTTGATTTGTTCATTTTGCTGCGAATGGTTGATGCGATTAAACAAACGATTCTGTTCCCAGCCCCACTATAAGGAGGCCTTGCAGGGCGATCTCCACGACGCTCAGCTGGAACTGGTCTCCCCCGAGTCTGACGGCGTGGACTCCATCATCGCCTCCCCTGACAGCTCCTGCGACTCCCACTGCTCCAAGAGCGCCACGTGCTCCGTGTCGTGAGGCAGGCAGACGCCGGCTTTTCAACGGACCACTTAAATGCCAGATAAGAATGCCGTTTTTGCTGATATTTTTGGCATCCTTGTGGTGATGCATTTACAATCTCTAATGAAGTGTTGTTTCTACAGGGCCTAGTCTGTTCTTTCTAGTGGCCTCGCGTGGTGTTATGTTTCATTGAAAAATCAGCATGGCTTATTTACTGACGGACTCTACAGAAATACATTGCAGCTATCAGTGTTAGCGTCACTGTTATACACGAGTAATGCTGTAATACCGAGAAGTGGTCACTGCCACACGGCCCAGCTGGACACGAGCTCCGCAATTTCCTGTTGGTTCTGCAGCACACGGAAGATTTGATGTCTTATTTCATCTCCTCCTCTCCTTTATCACACACGTCCGGACTCATTGTTCTGTCTCGTCAAATACGCAGCCACAGCACAACGTAAATGCTTGTCAGCCTCAGTGAAAATAAAGCGAGCTGGCGGCCGCGCCGCGTGTGGATTCTATTGTTTTTTATTTGTCTTCCCACTCAAAGGCACTTGCAGTCAGCATCAAATTAACATTTGCATTTATCGAACACATTTCTCCATGGATAAGTTCTTCTTGTGTCTACGTGTTCTTACGTGAAATGCATGCATGTGCACCTGCACGCTTACCTAATACCCGTGTGTTTTAGCTTCAAAAGGAATCACCGCTGTATTTGAGTAATTATCTGATGTGGGAAACCCTGCTGTTGTTCAATCGTTGATCAAGCACAGTGAGGAATCCACTTGGGACTTAAAGCAACATATCAGATTTCATGCTTTGTTTGAAATACGGTAAGTTACTCTCTGGCCGATGGCGCGTTCACACATCCATACGTGGCACCAGAACAAAACTAGTCTCATCCTAACAGAAATACACGAGTCAAACATCAGTTAATCCCGGTCAAGTGTCCCGCTCAGACAATGTTCTCCACTGGCTGGTTATCAGTTGAACTGCACCTATAGGTGGCTTCCTCGCGGTCTGGGCTGGATCCATTGGCCGCGCGTGAGTCTTTAGCGATCAAACCGATGGAGCAATGAAAGCAGAAGGCGTAGAAGAAGGCGAACAGAAGCAGGAAGCAGACGACGCTAAAAATGACCACGATCAGGATGGTGTGCCCCTGCAGGTGCGCCTGGTCCCACGGGACCAGTGTGGTGGTGGTCAGGGTGCCAGAGGTCGTCAGAGAAGCATTGACACTGGGTGAAGGAGGCTCCATGGAGGGCACCTGGTCGCCTCCCGGCACGATGGGAGTCCTCGGTGGCTATGATATACTCTCTGCAGCCTCAAGGGTGAAACAAAAGTCGAGTTTGGTAAACCACATTCACAGATTCAAATTCACCTTGTTCAGATAAGCTCATAACTGTAGTTCAGGAGGAGTACATGTTATTATATTATGACATTTGTTGCCAAGAACAGACGAGAGCAATAGCATGAGCAGTAATGACTTTGCAGATTTCTGGGAAATAATTAAATAAATTAATTTTAGCAACATAAATAAACCCAATTAACCAGCTGCTTTGAGGCGGGTTAATTCTCGGTTACCCTGACAACCACACACAGACGTGTCTTTTGTCCATACCTGGATAGGGTGGTTGTCCAGGCTCTCTGAGCAGGCTTTCTTTTGATGAGCAGAGCTTGGGAAAATGAAAGAAATGGAGGACAAGAGAGGGGAGTGAAGAAGAGAGGTGGGCTGGTAGACCCCCAAATGACAGGGAGGGTTGCCATGGCAACACATGGTGAGCGGCCACTTACATGGAAGTGACATCACATCACTTTGGGATTAAGAATCTGTTCTTTTGTGTACAAATGGAGATAATAGCAGGTGTCAACAGATTAAGTTGAAATTAGTTTGAAACGTGCATCGCTCGGAAAAACATATTTATGTAAAATTGTTCTGAAGCTGTGCAATAAAAGCATCTGCTTCATCGAAGATGAGCTTTTGGAACACAATTGGAGGAGTTATTTGTAAGGAGCAGCCGTGAGACTAATCCGGCTCTCTAACACTGCCACCTGTTGGTAGAAGAAGAAGCACTAAACAAAATCAGCTCCACACCAGCTCCTGTCATCTGGTCTCCTTCAAGCAGCCAGAATGATCCTTTATTACAAGTCGTAATTGGTCCCACATCCCCCGCTGTGCTCGCTCAACAGAAGACCAGGCTTAAAAAAATGTTTTAGTACTTGCACCAAATTTGCGTTGCCATGGAGATAGCCATTCATTTTTTAGCGAGCAAGCCAGCGAGCTGTTTGTGTATTTTTTATAGAACCTCTAATAAATACCAAACAAAAAAAAGGGAAAAGAAAAGTATTCATTAGCGTAATTTCAAGTAGGGCAGATCACAGACCAGAGCCGGCCAGCTGATGTTGAGTGCTTTCAGATGGTTAATTACAGCTCCAGACAAAGGAAACAAAAAGATCCATTTAATCCAACCAAAATGGCTGAATAGAGGATTTAGCCCACACCGAGGTCAGTCTAAAGCAGAGCTATGTGAAGACAGGCCACGGGGCTGTGTGGGCCTTCAAGTCTGGAGGAGTTCTGAATCGCTATCGTCCCAACAGACCAGACCCGTGTGTGGGTGAGGACTCGGGATCTCTTCCGAATTCAATGTTCTGCACAATCTTTACTGCGCATCTTAGACCTAAGGTTGCTCACAAAAGGTAAGAGCATTTGTTTTTTTTTGCTGGGAGAAGAACAGCGCTTCCAGCTGGACATTACATAAGTGGAATCGCCAACTACTTCTGTGGAAAGAGATCCAGGAAGTCGTGACATTGCTGCAAGAGAGGCTGCATGCTGAATTAACATATAAAAGAAACATTTGAGAAAGTCTCTGAAGTCAATTCTCTCTGCGTGTAATTTCTTGCACTGTTTGCTCTGCTGTGCCTTGAATATTTGATATCTTGTTGTGCCATGCGAGTGGTTTTTCGATGCTGCTCTCTCTCACTTTGTATGCATCTAAGTGGTCGCCTTGTGGAAGCACAGCTGAGCAGCAGTGGATCAGCGTGTAGTTTGAAGAGTCACGTTCCCGTGTTTTCTGACAATGTGTGATTTATTCATGAGAAATATGATTACTGGTTGCGACAGAAAATCCCCAAATAGGAAAATGAAATGAACTAAACAGAAATAACTAATTGTTTTATTGTCAAAAATCTTAAAACACGTTCTTACACATACACTCACACAACTTTTGTCTACGTAACTGACACACCCCAACGGTTCTACATGGCTACACACTTTCTTGGTGTTTAAGAAAGTACACAGTACACAATAATCGCTTGGGAAAAGGGGACAAAAACACTCATTTTGATTGATAAGTGCCTAAAAATATCTTTGAATTTGCAAAATATTCATAAAAATGACAAACTGTAAAAACAAAATTCTGATTCAAATCTTTGAGGGGACGGGACCCGTAATAGTTGAGGTGTGTTGATTGTAAATGGATTATGTGATGCTGGGTCACTGTCTGGCTCTCTGGTCAGTGTTGTCTGGGACGCTGGTTCACTTCTTTTTATTCACGATGTTGTTGCAAATCCAGTTCATGCCATCCTGTGGGATAAATGAAAATAGGCTTGAAGACAAACAACATCAGCCGTCAAATTAAGCCAACGAGATTATTGGCATGAATTAACATCTGCTTCAAAGCAGCCACGACCGCATTTATGCAGAGCGGAGATATGAACGGATCGAGGCTGGCACTCGGTCTGACCTGAACGCCCTCCCCAGACACGGCCGAGCAGGCCTGGATCTGCCACTCGCGGTCCCGGTACGTGTGCAGGTTGAGTCCCTCAGCGATCTCACTGGCTGGAGACGATGTGGCCAGATCCTGCTTATTGGCAAAGATGAGTACTGGAACACCCTTTAGATTCTCCTCGTCAATCAGCTCGGATAGCTCCTGCACGTGCACACACACACACACACAAAAGTCATAGGGTGTTGTATGTTTTTGGTTTGTATGTTTATATGTTGATGCAGAAATAACGTCAAGCTCACCAGCCCCGTCTCCTCAAAACGCTTTTTGTCTGCACTGTCAATAACGTAAATCTGAAGGAGATACAAATGTTGCAGTAAAATAAGCTGAAAAGGAAACACAACTGAAATGCACAAGTGTTGCCTCAAAATGACAAACTGAAGATGTCAGTGACTATTTTAATATACAGCAGCTGTTAATAGAGAACAGAAGTTACACTTCTCCCATCACAGAGTTCTACTTAAGAATCCTCCCATACAGTTACTACCATAGTGCTTAATTTGGGAATACGTGATGCTCTAATGTTGTGGATTTTTATTGCTGTTGTACACTTTTTGTGGTACATTTTCTCACTGCACCTCAGCATCACTTCCAACCACTTTGTGAACATTAACGAACATCCAAACACAGAAATAAATCTTATGAGGAGAGAAATGAAGTCACTCACCAACACGTCTGTGTTCTCCAGGTACTTTTTCCAGAAGGTCCTGATCTTCCTCTGTCCTCCGATGTCCCAAACGTTTAGTTTCATGCCGTGAGAGGCAACACTTTTTACGTTGAAGCCCTGAAGTGAAACACAAAGCTGGAGTCACTGCACCTGCAGATCGCCGCCTCCGATTCCACACGGTTCCAGTGAGCAGCACCTGGAAAGTCCTCCAAAGGGTCACGCAGCCATTCGGCCAAGCGGCGGTGACCACGAGAACACGCGTTGTTGAGTAAGACGCATCATGCGCTCCACGCTTGGAGGAGGAGGTGGTCACAGGTTTAACCCGGCGCTGTTTTTCATAACGCCGCACCTCGGCGAGGTTGTATAACAACTTTATCCCGAGAGGCTAGCTGAGGAGCAAATCTGAGGATAAGACTGGAAGGATCAAGTGTCGGGTGTGTGTGTGTGTGTGTTTATGTGTCAAGTCTGGTTTAGCTTTGTGGTGACTTGTCATGCAGGACAGCATCCTTGCTGCCTAACGGGGCCGAAGAGCCGTCACACTCGGCCCGGACCTGGCAGTACATCTGCTCCATGTCTTGTGAGAGTAATGCAAGGGAATTAGATAATCATGTTACAGGTTAGATGATCACATCACTACAGGGTGATAAAAGAACAGCTCACTATTAATGTTAGGATGCGCTTTCCTGCAGAAAGGAAACACGACGTACTATTTAACAGGGTGGAAATAATGAGCTGTTGGTGGTCGAGGCGTTAGGTGCTGTGTGACCGCTCATTTCCTTTCACCGCGTGTCAAGCAAAGGTCATCCGGACCCCCCCCAACCTTTCAGGGACAATGTGCGACGGTCCAGCTGGTCTCACAAGATTAGATACAAGGCTAAGGTGCCGATAAAATAAAAAAAAAGGTAATTGATAAAAGAGAAGACCTCCATTTGTATCACTGTTTTTGCACGAGGATTCAGACAGATCGATCTTTAGAGGGGAAACATTGACACCATATTTCTGGCAGATGCACCCTGTTCATTTAAAATAGCCGTTCATGCCGAGATGATTTAATTAAAAACCAAGGGCACAACAAAACGATCTGCAAGCATCAGTCAGTTGTGCTTCTTTATTTATAATGCCGTACAGTAAGAGACTTAACTTAAGGTCACGATGTGTGTGTGTGTGTGTGTGTGAGAGAGTTTAAGCACATAGCTTCCGGTCACCTGTGTCGGTGTGATGGTGTTCACATCCTCAGAGGCGAGGCTCTTCAGCAGGGTGGTCTTGCCTGCGTTGTCCAACCCCAGCAGCACTATCCTGACCTCCTGACCTGTGGATCCCTTCAGTTTCTCGATGACAGAGAGTAAGCCCTGTATGAAGGGAGGGGGGGGGGGTTCGGGACAAGCAAATTTCATAATGCAAAAGCATGAAAAACAGAATACTGTGTTATGTTATATTAACATGCTTCTTATGAGTCTGGAACATAACCTGCTGTAAACCTGCGTACTGATCCCACTGACCTCTTTCCAATTTGAGATCAAAGCACCTCTTACAGCACTGTTTAGCACACGCATGCCTTCTTGCTCCACCCACCCGCCAACATCCAGTTCCTGGATCCCGCTCTTCCTACGGTGTAGCTCGCACAACCATTCTGTGAGAATGCGTCTTTTTTCCCTCATTGCACTCAAAGCCCTGGTGTTGATTAGAGCTCCATTCATTTAATGGTGGGACATTTAATGGGATTAGTCTGAAGCAACGTTGTGCAATCGTAGGACGTCACGTGAAATTGAAGCCTTAAATATATTTTGATCAAGGGGAGCGATACGACGGTGTATGTACGTTTGGGTGTACATGAAAGAACATTTAGATGTACAGCATAACGGCAGAAATACAGAACAAGCCGAGCGGCTAGATAATCCACCTGACACAGCAGAGCTGCATGCAAACAACCTCCAATCATGTGAAGTAGTCATTCTAACGCACCTTTGGAGTCTAGACTGCCTGTGAATGATTCTCAGTGTCAAACTAATGCTGAACTGGGATTTCTGAAATGTGTTCCCGAAAATCAGGTCACTTACCTTTTGAGCTTCTCCCATGGTGACGTTTACTGTTGCTTGGCTGTAGGGCTGCGGCTACATTCTCCAGTGAAGCTGGAGCCGGTTTGGTAGTTGTCCAGGTCACTGAGGTTAACGATCCAGGAAAAGCTCTCAGAAGCCCGTCGTTTTCCTCTTTACGCCGTAAACTTGGGGGGAATAAGTGCTGCGTGTGTGTGTGTGTACGTGATAGTTATGTCTACCTGGCCGTCAATTGCTCCTCGCAGAGAGCGGGGGAGGGTAGATGGGACTTGGATTAGGAGGCCAGAATTAGCCCTTGTCGTCCATGCAAAGCCCCCCCCCCCTCCCCCCTACCCCCCTTTTTCTGTCTATCCCTCCACCGTCACTTTGCAGTGGCTTTACCTGGATTATCCCTCAGCCACCTGCTATATGAGGGAACCGAATACACGCTCCTTCCCGACACACCCACACTGATATTACGAGGAGGCAAAAGGAAAAGACATTCAGACATCTTCCCATATGGCGGAGGGGAAAACATGCCGTTAACAAAAAGGCCGTACTGCAGCATGTGGACAGAAGACAGTAGAGTCTAACGCATTAACTTCAAAAGACTGTATCATGTGGTTCGACCATGGGAATTTATTATTTCTTCATGATTCAACTCTCAAATCCCCAAATCTGTCCCTCTCCTGCGAAGGAGCGGATATCCTTATCATCCCCCCATGTATCCATTACGTGCCAGGCGCTTTAAAGCTGCTCTGTTCGGGTCGTCTGTGGTGTTGGTTCCTGTGAGCAGCGCATTCGTGGGGATTAGTTTCAGCATGCAGGCGCCGCGTCTGGATTAAAACTCTTTTCCTCCATTGAACGGGCTTTATGGTTAAATGCTGTGCTATGCAAACTCCCTAATGCAAAGGCCTCTACACATAAGCTTGTAACCTCAATGTATCTATAAACACTCAAGAAAAAAGAAAGCTTAATATCTTAATCAAACAGATTAAAATGATTTCTTGAAACAATATCACTAAATCAAGAGGGACATTTTTTGAAGGTAGAGATGGTTCTTCTTTAGTTGTGAAGTTAGTGAATGAAGCTGGGAGCGCCGCCCTGCTCCAGCTGCTTCTGCTGCCTCCTCTCTCTGTGTTTAGCTGCAGAGCCCAAAAGGGGAGGAGTCAGACTTCATAAAGTACACTTTATAATGTAAACCTTTGATGGGCGCAATGCAAACATTTCTGAGACAGATAATGTATTTTTTTTCTTGTTACTTAAGAGATGTATGAGAAGATTACAGCCCCTCTGGTCTGCATCGTACATTTATACGTCAGTCACTCAATGTTTGCTGAGAACATGTTGTTTGATTAATATGTACACTCTGTTTGAAGACAGTGAGTAAGTACACTATATAGTAAATACGGAAAGATGTTGACTTAGTCTTAGTAGTAACATCCTGGAACCTTTGCGACAAAAACATTTGTAAACATTTATGCAATTCCGTTTTTCCAGGGATTAAACAAATACGATTTATCACATGTTAATCAATGAGTTTTAGGGGTGCTGGTAAGTGGATTACGTTAGTTTTGGAGAGAGCTAGACTCGCTCATTCCCCCTTTTTGGTCTTTGAACAGATAAGTAGTTCAAGGAAGGCAAACAGATTTTGAAACATGTTTAATTATTTAAACTTTACTATTTTTGCAACACAGCCCAACAATATATCTGCTGTTAATTATTATTTGCCTTCAAGACAATATTCTCTATTTATGTGCTGTCTCATAGCAAAAACAACATGAATTATTGTCTTTACCTCCGTCTCTTTTCAGCTTGTACTTCATAACCAGCCCGATGACCAGGACCAGGACCAAAGCAGAAACGCCACAGATGATCAGGAGCAACACGCTTTGGTCTGCAGGAGGAATGTCACAAAGGCAGAAACACGGATGCACCGTTTAGACACATGTGTCAAGAGTCATATAGTTTTGCGTTTCACAATCTGCCTTAAATTCTCCAGCTCTTATTCCAAACGTATACAGTGTTATCTGACCGTGTGAAGTCTACTTACTCTCTACATTGACATTGTGTGGCAGAGACTCGCATCGGCCACACAAGCTGTTCACAAAGCAGACGTACTGGCCTGTGTCATGTGACAACACTTTTTTGCGAAACAGCTTGCTCTTATTTCTTTCTTCCTCAATTTCATTCGTGTCCTTCTTCCACCCAAACGTCACATTCCAATTGGAACAGTTATGGAAACAAGTCAGAGTGACTTCATCGCCCTCATTTAGCTTGGATGCAGTGCTGTTGACACAAACCTGAAAGCCTGATGGGAAGGGGAAACATTCATACGGAGGGGAGGAGCAGTAACTTAGTGTTTTAGGTACTTTATGTTTTTAGGTGCATGCACTATTGTGTAACAATATTGTTACAGGTTACCTGCACTGCAGTTTGACTGTTTGTCTGTAGGAACCGGAGCAAATAGAACACATGAAAATAAATGCAATAACAAAAAGCAGCTTTGTTTAGAACAAGGTACACATGACACATCACATTTGATTGAAAAATGTCACGAAACCCTCGGAAATATGTAGCATTTACATGTTCTAAATGTTTGCCTTGTTTGATTAACATCCTTGTGCTGCCGCCCTTCTACTGCCAGTTACAATCCCTAATGTGCACAAAGATCTTTAGTGAAACAATAGAACTAAACATTTTCGCATTTCGCCTCTCCTCGTCTCATTTAATTGCAAACTCAGGTAAATCTCCAATTTCCAAATTCATCTTACAAACAGCGAGAAGTTATTTTTTCTCACCTGGCCAGGTTCCTGTGACGTTACATATCGCACACGAGGCAGAGGCACTGGTGAAGCCATCGCCAGCTCGAATATAGTAAAAAATGAATAGGATCAAACAGGCATCGACCGTATATGACCTGCCAAATGCACGAGGGGCTACTTACCTCTGAGGAGGTGATAAAGCCAAGCGTTTAGAAACAGGCTTCTCATAAGCATTCTCTGTTGGATAGAATTAGAGCTCCTCGTCAACACAGGTCAAGGACGAAAGCTACGTACATCTCCACTTTACATGTTTAATGAATTATCGTAACAAATGTAGAAAACATTGTGTTTTTCTTATTACCTTTGTTTGTGTCGTCTCCTCACACGCACAGCTGAATGATGAGCTGCTCTGTTTTTGCATAACCTAATGGCCCTTTGCGTCACAAACAGGAAGCCTTGTAAACACCGACAACCATGCAAATAAATTATTCCTGAGAACCGAACAGCACAAACGTCATCTCCGTTTTATACACAGCAGTGAAGGCAGTGAACGGCGACAGTGGGTGAATAACATTTATGCAACGAAAAGTGAGTTTTACTTTTCTTTTATATAAATGGATGGAATAAGAACTTAACAGAGAGGCAAAACCCAGGAATATGGAGGATGAGGCAGCGTTCACCAGTGTAACCTGTTATAGGCAAATCAGTGGTCGACTTAAGCAAACTACCCTGCCTTTTGCAGACACCATCAAATGTGACACACAGGCAGCAGCTCGCCCTGAGCGTCGGGGATTGTGGACAAATTACATCCAATTGAAGCTTTGGAATACCATATCATCTTTCGTTGACATTCACAGCATGTGTTTGTGCAGCGTCCAGCAGAGAGTGCTGCTGATCAGCCACCTTTTTGCATTACACTCATCCCACCAGGGTGATGAGGAGCTGGAGGCTTTCCCAGCATGCACTGGGAAAGAGGCAGGGTGCCCTTTGAGCAGATTGCAAAACAGAAGCGCTATCACACTCTTAAAACTAACAGTCGAAAGGCAATTTCATATTTAATCCAACCCACATGTGTTTGGGCCGTGGGACGGAAATAGAGAAAAAGCACACAGACACAAGGGTAATATTCAAACTCATTCAAACTCATCAACATTAAAAAAACAAAACCAGTCCGTGGATTCAAATCACCTCAGTCACTTGTTTCTTTCATCCTAGCGTGCGGGAGGGATCACGTTGAACCGGACTGGGGCTGTTAGCAAATCCATTGGTTTCAACCTGAACTAAATGAAACCTCAACTCGTCTCAGGGATGCGGAACCAAACGAAAGATATCATAACAGTGAAAAGCTTCAGAATGGAGAAAGAATATTCATCAGCGTAAGAGGCTTTGACACAGGACCAAGCTCGTTTAAACATATTTTACAGGCCATTTTTAACGCTCCACCCCCCCTGGTTCCAAGAGAAGAATCCAAATCCACAGAGATCATTTTGAGCAAGTGACAATTTCTTTAAAGGGAACTCAAAGGAATATCCTGAAAGAAGGGTGAACATACATTTTAACGCCTTTTTTTTCTTCTTCATGTTTTATGATGTTATGACATCTGTTTTCAGGCTCTATAACTTCCTCATTGCAACAATTATGACGAAAGAGTGAAAGAACTCACAAAAAGTAAAATCATTTGCATAATTGGTGCCTGAGATTGGGCAACATTTTACAATTCTTTCAAAAATAGAATTCAATATGTTGTTTTATAAATGGAATTGCACATTTTCTGCCAGAATGCTGACATTAGTTTGTCCCACATGCTGCTAATATTTATACTAACTATTCATCATATTAATATTATATGAATAGCATGATATCATGTTGAATATTATACGTTTCCAGTGCTGCATTAACCAAGCTAATAGTTATCATGGTTTGTTCAGTCTAACACCAAATGTGCACAAAATAGCATCGAATGCAAAGTGAGGTTACAAGTGAGCTAAAAAGACTACTTTGAATTAGTAGGGCAGCACAGCGCGACCTTTCCTCTGACACCACTTTGGGGGAGGGGGTGAGAGGAACTCTTCTCTTCTTTTGCCTCCTCTTGCTTTCGTCTGTGCCACAGTGTTGTGTTTTCATTTTGCCTCTCTGTCGCCCTGTACATTTGTGTGTGAAATGCAAGTAGAGGATGTTTTAGCATCGTATGGTACAAACAATTTAGCCTGTCTGTGTGTGTTGAATGTGCACTTTCACCTTACTTCTCGAAAACCGCTCATGGGCAATTTGCAACAAGCTTTGGCATCCAGGCAAAGGTAGACGGGGAAGTTGTTGACACGTGTGAGGTGATTGATAATACGTGACAGGTGCACGGGCAATTAAAATGTCCTGCTTCACCTGGCGTCGCTGGCTCGTGCAAATGTCAGGAGTCAGCAAATTGGTAACATTGAGATTGAAGCTGTTAATTAACTTTGACCAGGTGACGCCAGCTGACTGGCAGCGCTCTCGTATCGCTCCTCCTGAAGATGTTTGCTCTCAGGGGAATTTGTCACAGGTTCTACCGCTTGGCAAAAGTTGCATCACAAAAGCAATGCAGGAAATATGACAACTCGTGCACCATAGTCACTGGTATCATGGCGGATAAGAAGGCAAGACAAGCGTCACACAAACACACACACACGCACACACACACTTGAAGGAGGGGGTGTTGGCACCTCAGTGTTTGGCACTAAAGAAAGTGTTTTGTTTAAGTCAATATTAAGTGGTCTTGATTTTGTAGTTCTAATATCAAAATCTCAATAACCTCCAATGACAAGGAAACTTTCCTATGATGGGAAAAAAAGGTCATTGGTTATAAGCTAGCTCCAAAATTGCTGTCCTGGTCCGTGAGCTACGTCAAGTAACATGACATCAAAAGCTGTGTGAGTGAGTGCGTTTTGTCTCGTCTGTGTTCCCACATCAAAATGTTTCTCAAGATGTAGGCTGAGCACAGTTTGATCATCGTAACCATACTTCCTCTTTTGTGGCTTGTTGCTATGGCGAGACTTCCCTTACAGGCAGGAAGTGACAGGAAGACCCAAAATGATGACTTTTTGTGTGTTGAGTGCATCATGTTTGGGTGGAGCACTTCACTGTGTCCCCTGACGCAAAACGTACTTCTCGTAGCCGTGTGTTCGAGCCACCATGGCGAAAAACTTTGGCGCTTTAGGGATTCCTGCAGGACACATGGTGAGTTGACGTAGTAACACCTATGTTCGGTTCATTTTGTTTCATCTGTGCAGCCAGAGATCTGTTCATGCATTTATGTGAAAGGAGGGTGTGTTTTTTTTATTTTTTTTATCAGCTCGTACATGAAGGAATCACAAGACTTACAAATACTTTGTACTTTGACAAATATGTTGTTGGTGTGCTTGTTATTTATAGCCCTGTCATCATTTGATAAACACTCTATTTTTCAATCTTTTATTTTTATTTTAAGTCTACTTTAACTGCATTCTGTTGAGTTGACATTTAGATGTAGTCCGATGGAGCAGTTTCTTGGCTTGTATTATTCGTCTTTTCAGAAGTCAACACTGACATCAGGACTGCTTGACTCGGAAGCGGAAACCAAGTAACGCCACGTTACTTTAATCTGTGACTCTTGGTAGTGAGTTTCCATATCTTGTTTCTCCCTTTTTTGTTTTTTTTTAAAGGATTTGCAGAGGATCCTAATGCTTGGATATTCCTTTCTGCCTGTGTGTTAGAACGGAAGCTGCACAGGCAACACTCGTTGATGGTGTTCATTGCAGTCTGTTATTTGCAGGCACTGACATCTTGTGTTTTCGGAACAGAGTTTGAGCAGTAGGGCAAACGCGTGGTGAGGGAGTTCACACACGGAGAAACCGCCAGTCCAAATCAACCTTATATGGGCAGAGAGTTTATCACTTGCCAAGAGCTGCTGCATTTGAGTCATTGTCAAACACACAGTTTGCGTGCATCTAAAATTACCACACACACAATACATCTTTTTAACCTTTTTTATTTAGTGAAAAAAAAGGTTCACGACTGTTGGCAACTTCCTCGTAAGGAGTGTTTTTTTTTTCTACACAGGATATGGGCTTCCGTCTCATTGTTAACACTAGCTTGGTTAAGCAGTCTCATTAGTAAACGTTACAACATGTACCTTTCTGTTTGATCTTTTTATAGGTTAATTCAGAAATTGGGTCAGAGAGCTTTTGGAAAAAACACAACGTGACTTTGGCTAACCTCAAGGGGATTCACATTTTAAACCTTTTCCAAAAACCATCCAATGAAAATTCAACTCAAAAACTACCATAATAAACACTAAACAATTCTTTACTTTTTTATTTTTTAAATGTAATATTTCTGTGCAAACGTGATGTTTCAGTTGAAATGTAACCCTTGAGATTGAAAGTCCATTCTTCAATTGTACGGTATCAATTATAAAACAGATCCTCATTTATTTATTTTTTGAATCCATACCTAGAGACACTGATAATGTACATTTGGTAGTTGGCGCAGGGTTGCATGCTATATATGTGCAGAATTTAACTTAACATGCTCAAATTGAAACTGAACTTTTACAAGATGTGAATTTCTAGCCTTCTTAAAGCTGAATGGGAGACTTTGTCATCAGTGTCACAATCGTTTCCTGCAAAAAGCACTTGACTGATTGCACTTCAGTGTTACACAAAGGGAGAAGGCAAAACACATGCAGCTGGTGTTCACACTTCCTAAATGTGTGCCTCTGTGTCAAGCTTCTGTATTAACACTATTTGGAGGATCGCAAAGCTGTTTTTTGTACAATTGTGCAGAACGTCTTATTTATTGACTCTACTTTTAAATATACCTTCTAGGAGAACTGATATCAATATAAGTACAAAGAATCCTTTTTTGATGTTATGATTCATTGAAGTTGGATTTATCAACTACAGGCATAGGAATGATTGTAGTGCGTGACAGCGTTGTTGTATCCCCCACCTTATCTCTCCGTCTCTCTGTTCACAGAGCCAGGCGGTGTCTGATGGAGGTAAGCAGGAAAGACCAATGTGTATGCTGCCAATCCTGTACATCTCCCATTTCTCCCAACCGAAACATGTCTGTGCACGAGAAAATGGCTAAATCGGTCTCATTCTTGGTCACGCTCTAGTGTTCTGATGAATGGGTGTGTTTTGTGCTCGTCTGCGTGGTAGAGTTGAACATGTCTGCACGGGGCTGTGGAGGCAGCAGCTCCAGCCTTCCAGGGACTCCGGGCGGGGAGGCCGCCCCGGCCAACAGCGTGCTGAGCTGGGCCGTCTCCTTTGAGAAGCTGCTGGAGGACCCCGCTGGAGTCCGCCAGTTCACGGTGAGACGGACAGTGGGTTGTGTCAGGACTTTTTATGTTCAGGCGTACATGTAAAGTGTTTTTTGCCGAAGTCCTCTCACAGGACGCGCCATATGCGTTCATACACCGTGTGTGTGTCTTCGTCCACAGTCCTTTTTGATGTCTGAGGTGAGCGCGGAGAACATATTATTCTGGCAAGCTTGTGAAAAATTCAGGAAGATCCCAGCAAGCTCCTTGGAAGAGGTATGATTTATAATCCGTTTGATTTACTGGCCAATGTTATAGTTTTTCTGAATACTAGAAAACTAATGTTTGCAGTTGTTGATCAGAAGGGGTTGCTATGTTACCTGTGTAGTAGTCCGCAGTACTGCATCAGCAAGGTCTCTTAGACAAAGATTTCAAAGCAGGCCCAGGTACACCTATCGACTTCATTGACATGGAAATGAGGCCAAGCGACTCCACTATGAACAACTAAAAGAGCTGGGTTGCAGAAAAATGGCAATAAGTGCTCTGGATGTAAGAGTCAAAATAGTAAATGTTTGTCTGGTGGAAGAAGGCAGTACAATAATGAAGCACGGTGGAGGTTCATTAATGATGTCCTCGATACTGATGAATACAAGAGATACGGATCCATCATGCAGGGAGGCGTATGATTGACACCAAATTTATTCTGCAGACCCCAAACATACAGCCAATATCATTAAGAACCATTTTCAGCGTAAAGAACGGCAAGAAATCCTGCCGGTAATGCCCCCAGAGAGCCCTAATCTCCACATTATGGAGTCTGTCTGGGATTAAATGAAGAGCCTAGATCCACACATCTGTGGTTGGTTCTCAAAGATTTTTTTTAACAAGCTGCTAGTAAAGTTCCTTCAAAAACTGCAAGTGTACCAAAAATGATTGATGGCGTTTTGAAGGGTGGTCACACCAAATTTTAATTAAAATATTTTTTTTTATTACCTATCGAGGTTTCAGTTGGGATCTGTTGTGTTCGCAGCTGAAAAAAGCAGCTCGCTCCATCTACAACACCTACCTGTCCGACAGCGCTCCCTACTCGGTCAACATTGACGACACAGCCAAGACTGAAGAGAAGGACCTGCAGCGGCCCACCCCCGACATGTTTGACAAGGCCCAAGCACAGGTCTGTTTGGACGCCACGTTTCCATTTTTAGGTCCGTAGCACAGTGACACTCTTTTGTTTTGTGGCTCTGCTTACATGTGTGACCCCCCTCCCTTGTGTCAGATATTTAAACTGATGAAGATGGACAGCTACAGGCGCTTTGTGCGCTCCCCTCTCTACCAAAGCTGCACCTTGGGAGGTAAACTTCTGCCTCAGCTTTCCACAGAGGCTGTCCTTACGGGATCCTGGGAGGAAGTGGCCGCAAGAAGCCCGCTGAGTAACAAAAAGGTAGAATGACTGGGAAGACACGGACTAAGGGGCAGGAAAGGGGGAGGAGGGACATGCGTGCTGTTAAAATATGTGTTGTTATTGTCTCAAAACAGAACAAAAAGTCAGACTCCAACAGCTTGCCAGGCAGCAAGACTTGCCCTGAAAAACAGGGTCAGAAAAGAGGCTCCTGGGGAGGTACTGGCAGATCTTGTGCTCCTGGGTTATGCCTTGGCGTGCATCCTGTTACATTTCTTTCACCATTTGATAACCTTTTATATTTCCTTTTTCATTTCCTTCATTGGTAACAAAAGATGGATCCAACAACTATGGTTCAGGCGCTGGGAAAGACTCCCACGTGTCTGTCAAATCCAGCGGCAGTGTGGAGCTCGGCTCCCTCTACAGGCAGATGGAGGTCAGTGCAATAGGGCACACGTGGATGACAAAACACTGCATTCAAGAATCCGCTTGAAAGAATATCTGACATGAAGTTCCGCTCTCCATGGTTTTTGAAGTTTTTCCTCTCACGCTTGGCTAACGGCTCTCTCCTCTCCATCTGCTAGAATGGCAGATTGCGTCCCCACTCTCCAGAACAGGGGGTTGGAGGTGGGAGTCGGATGGGGGTGTCGGGGGTGGAGGGAGGCTACTGCTGTGTCTATCTGCCCGATGGCAGCGCCTCGCTGGCCCCCACGCGCAACGGCCAACCCATCAAAGACATGCTGGCCAGCCTGTGTGAGAAGAGAGGCTTCCCGCTGAAGGATGTCATCATCTACCTTCACGGCAAGGAGAAGGTGAGGACTAAAGCTGCAACAGGCGGTGTGAGAAAGATGTCCACACGCTCTTCTTGTTTTAACATCCTCTCAGCCGCTTACTCGGTCTTCATTTCTGAAAGTCACTTCTCTCTGTCTGGTACACCTTGGCTCTCTCTGCAGCAACCGTTAACGCTGGACCAGGACTGCTCGGTACTGAGGGATCAGCAGGTCGCTCTGGAGATCAGGGTGATGTTTGCGTGAGTCAACTGTGCCACTTCCGTCCTTTCTTTGCCACTTTTGGCGGGCGTTCACACCCTGCGGTCCACTGCTGCATGCAACTTCACACCATGTCAGAGGGAAGTCGTTTAGCCAACACTAGACATTAGTCATCTTCACTGAATACTGTAGGATGCCCACATTAATCATTTTGGTACCGCTGGTTTGCTGCTTGTTTTACTGTGTGTTAGTGAGGTTATTGAAATGCACGTGTGCTTCAGGCTGGAGAATACATTCACTGGTAAGACTGTTGGGATCATGGTGAAGTCCAGTAAGACACTGCAGGACGCTCTGACTGCGGTGCTGCAGAAACACCACCTCAAGCCACAAGATGCCGTGGTCACTATGGTGAGTTCATGTATGTCTGAATGAAACCGTATCATGGAGCCAACGCTGGAGTATTTATTTTTATGTTTTTTCAGGTAAGTAATTGTTAGTTTTTGTAAAATAATCACCTAACCGGTGACACTGTTCACATTAACTTCCACTCCTTCAAAGCAGTGTACTTTCATTTTTTTATTATTACCTCTCTTGCTTGCAGCCGTTGCTACATGGAAACCACTTGCACGTCACTAATGTTAAGAATTATGCAACCCGTAATTTTAATATGAACTTCATGTGTTGCAGCCTTTTTTTTCCCACGAAGATTTCACCATTTTTGTTAATATGTATTTCATGCATTTAGTTCCCTTTGTCCCCACAAAACTGTGTCCCTAATTGTGTGTCGGCGTCTTATTTCCTTGTTCATTTCAGGTGGGGAGCGACGAGCCAGTGACCATGAACAGCTCTGTGTTCAAACTGGCCAATAAGACTCTGCGCCTTGAAAAAACCAAAGGTTGATACACTTGAGCACAATGTTTTTATTCAGCAGGACTGCTAACATCACTGACTAATCGTGACACTGCTGCTGCAAGAACAGAAGCCTGCACGAGAGAAAAAACAGCCAACATGGCCGACGTGTAAATTTAATGATTTTGTTCAAATTGCATACAGCCCTCCAGCCACTGCGTGTTGTAGAGGATGCGGGTGAACCACGGGTGACGCTTTTGTCTGATCTTATTCCACCTGAACTTTGGCCGTGCCTCCTTACTCACTTAATTGTTTGCTAATGGGTCCTAGAAAGTGTTTCTGTATTTCTTGGCTCTTATCTGTGGGCGAGGATGAAGGCTTTTCACTCTGAGCTTAAATGTCCATGTTTTTCCGCGTCACTGTCATCATCCCTTTGTCGTGCTCTGATTTCTTTGTGCGTCTCTGCCGCCGTCTTCATTGGTTTCTGCGGCGCTGAAATGTCCGAGTCCATTTGGTAGGTTGAGGGCTGTGACACTTTGAGTTCGCTCACCTCGTTTCCCAACTGCGAGGAGACCAGAGCCGACTTCACTTTCGATCAGCGCGTCTTGACTCAGCCCCACTCACTGCGTTTAGCAACAAGGGAACGGATTAGGTTGTAGTTGTTGTTTCTGAGAAAGATGTAATTCTGTTCAAGGATATTTTATTTGGCCTATGTGTGTAACACAATGGGAAGTTCGCTTCTGTAGCATCATTGATGGCCTAATGACTCGCTTTGCACTGTTTAAAAAGTGAAATTAATCTTTTGTGTGGTTGCAACAGGAAGAGACCACACCAATGTTTCCAAGGGCAGTAGTTCTGCTGCAGCCGCCCAGGTGAAGCAATGCTCTTAAACTACTGAGGATTTAATAAACACATCTTCTGTACTCCACTGACAGTCATGCATACAAGGAAATCTCCTCACCAGTATGTTATTTAGACAATATACAAACATGCACCTTCCCTCCATTGAATCAACAACTTTATTTTAGTTGTGGTCCAGTGAACATTTGTACACGGGATTGTGGGATTTCTAGCAGAAGATATAGATACATTATATATATATAATAAACAGGGTGCACTATAGATTAAAAGGGAAGCTGTTTGTGACACCATCTAAGGCTTTTGGACGCCAACAGAAAAACATCTGTCATGAAAGGTTTATTGTACGTGTGATTTCTAGAATGTGTAGCTTATAATTTGACAAGCATTGCAGACCTGTGAAGGAATAATTTGCCGATTGATGACGCGTGAGTCTATTTTGGTCCCAGGCAGGCGCAGTGAGTGCAGGTGAGGTGGAGGCCCGAGCCAAGATTCAACACAAGCCCACTAAAAACCGGGAAATGGAGGGTAGGTCCTTTAGGGTTGGTTCCACTTGAAAACGCATGCTGTAAGAGGATAGATTTCTCCGTTTATTACAAGTATACCATAGCAGGGTTTAATACAAATATTATTTCTAACAAAAGACTGATCTACAATTTGTAGCCATCGTCTGATTTAAAATGGCATATTATTTATTTGGAACAGTATCAGTGATGAAGATGTTTTCTGTGTTAATCCAGGGCTACTGGACATGCTGACCAGGGCTCAGTGCTGCAGGGTTGATGACCAGCGAGGCCTTTTGACCAAAGAGCAGCTGGAGGTCCCTCTGTTCTTGAAGGTGGCTTCAGACAGGGAACAGAACTCAAAGCCAGAAGAACCCAGTGCAGCCAACTCCTGCGCTGATGACTCAGAGACCCCAAGTTCAGCTGGCGCAGCGAAGGAAACCCCGGACTCTGCCTCATCTGAGGCCAAAGACGTGAGGGAGACGTCTGTTTGAAAGACTTTTGCGCAGGTTGGACGGGAGAGACTCATTTAGAAGCTACCACAAACGTCTGTGAATGTCATGAGACCAATCTGTACCTGAGACGACAAAAATGAGTCGGCACTTTTTACAAATAAGCTCTGAGACCACATTTTGCCATCATCATCTCTCCATATTCATAGTTTGCCTTCTTAAGGCAAAATGTTGGGTAATTTTAAAAACACTACATATGTTAATAGAACGTGTTTGCTATGAACTGTTTAATGTATTGAAAATGCATTTGAAAAGTGTTTTTAGCTCACGCTTTTAAGCCCGGAAGATGATGTGTTTGCTGTAGTGTTGCCGGATGTTTTAACGGCATACGGCTGGATGTTCACATTGCTTTAAATGCTTTCCAATCTCACATTGCTTTTCTTTGAACTCTAAACAGCGACTGTCCAGAAGGGTGTATTGCACAATTGTTTGTTTCTTTATTTGACTTAACATTATTGAATATCTTTATTTTCAGATGAATGTTTTTATATTAGTAATCTTAATTCTGTGTGCTTACTTGCTGTTTTCGAATGTGTGGTTGCGGTACTACGTTTTGTTTGCTGTGATGGCACTATGAGAAGTTCTGGTTATGTCCTGTTTTTCGGTCACCTCTAAAGGTGCGGGTGATGGATTCGAAATGTGAAATTGCAGGGAATGATTCTGCAGATGTGATATGGGTGTATCCAATGAATTAAAGCCTTTTATGATGAAGGGTGATCATTCATGTCGGTCGTTTTGTTGTGGCTAAGACGCCAAGCTTCATTTTGTAATCCTGTGTGGAAGTCTTTGGATGAATCACTGTCACTTTCTGTCTTGACACACGCTACGTGATTTGGTTTTATATGTAGTTCAGCCCGAACCATCGACCCCAGAGACCGGCTGTGTGACTCGTGCACTGTGAAACTATCAATTCTTGCACATGATTGTGTTCCTTTTTTAGGTGGATCCTGGTTGAGAAAACCTCCCTCCAAATTGTCTTGTAATTAAGTCGTGTGTGTTTTTTTTTTTTTTTTTTTGTGCCATTTCGGTAATGGAAGATTGCAGCGCTGTGATTGGCTACGACTCTTCATAAAAGAGCCAATCACCTGCGTTGTGTGTCTACACACTTGTTGCTGGAAGGAGCTTTCCAGTTGAGGACCCTGGAAGGACTATCATTGGGTTTAATTCTGCCATTACGCGGGTTTCCAAAATAAGTGAGTCATCGATGGATGACGTCTGTAGCTTACGTTATTCTGCATCTGGCTGCACGGGTTTGGGAAGCATCTCACTTGCTCACCTTGGTGTCACTGTCCCTGAGCTAATAAACCTGAGACGGTGAACATTGCACTGCCAGAAGCAATAATGATAACGTACTGTAAATTATACACCCTTGTCTCTCCTACAGCTTTGGTCTGCCGTGCTGGAGACATTAGCATCCATGTTCGACACACACACACACACACACACACACACTTTGTGTGTGTGTGGTGCGTCGGCGGAGCTATGAATGGGCAGAGAGGGGTGTGCTCTCACACACACCGACATCATCGTAGCAGCAGTGAGATGAGGAGTGCCATCTACTCTACTGCACGTCTGTACTGAGCAGAACGAAGGGAGGAAAAGAGGTGAGTGTCTGAAATTCCCCCGAGCATTTAACTAATCTCATTTTTTGGGGGGGAGGTGATCGTTTCATTGGATGTGTCCGCCTGTCCTTGGTCTCTCTCTGTCACTCCCAACCTTCATTCTCTCATCCCGTCTATCACCGCGTGATTGAATGTCTTCTGCTGTCTTGAGATGAAGCTCATCATCTCTATGATGGAAAAGCTCACATCTCATTGCAATGTGTCGTCCCATCTGTTTTTGTTATTTGGTTCTTTTGCTAATCTGCATCGGGACGGTAACAGGCTGTGTATATAAGTGTTTAATTGCTGAACTCGATCCTCTGCTGATGGGAGTACTCATCAGTGCCTTTTAAAGAGTCTTGCAGATGAATACATAAGCGGTGTAACACCAAACCCATCCATCACTTCACTGAAAGATTCTGCTGAGCTGGTGAGGAAGAAGCCATTTTTAATGGCAAGTATTATTTTACACATACAGGAAACTGTTCTCTGCATTTAACCCGTCCCACACAGTGGGAGCAGTGGGCGGCCGTAAAGGCGCCCGGGGAGCAGTTTGGGGGCTTGGTGTCTTGCTCAGGGACACTTTGCCGTGGGTCATGGCTCCGCCGGGCTTCGAACCGCCAACCCTGCGGTTCTCGGCGCACCCTCTCTACTCCGTATGCCTCGGTCTCCACGAAGGACAGGCTCTCTGTTCAGCCTGTTTAAAACCATAACTGAGTTGGTTCATTGGCACTGCCGATCAGGTGACGTACACTCGGTGGAGCAGTGATTCACGTTGTGTCCTTGGCACTGTGACACCTTCTATAACGCTGTATCTCCTGAGCACGTGATCCTCTGTGATTTGCGTGTCCAACAACAGAAATGCGGCGCGGCGCCAATGTCAAAGCTAGCTTCAACTTGACCTCCTGAACTTGAACTGTGGGAATGGAGTTCACCCAAAGGAGGGGAAAACTATCAAGTTTTAATCCCTCACGTCGCAGCTCTGGATGTTTTCTTTCATTGTTGCTGAGGAATGATTGGACATCGATGACCGCCAGCTGTAAGCTCAATCTGAAGTGATCGGTTCTGCCACTGGGAGTCGACCGCCTCAACCTTTTCAAATTGAGATGAAGATGTTCTCGTTGAAGTCTTCCCTGTTATTGTGAAACCCTTTTTACAGATACTGAAATTAAGCTCTGTGCTGCTCCTCAGTTGGGGAGTTAATTAATGTTGACCCAACAATCTTGGTGTTTATGGATTAAAATCTTAAAAACTGATTTTCACATAAGCATTTTATCGTCTCCTGTGAAGGCTAATTAGTTTTGATCAACTTTGCTACCTCGCGTCTGAGTGTACGATGAGTGCCTTATGGTGATAATGGAAGGGTAAAAATGATATTCCTGCATCCTTGCAGAAAATGTTGTTGAGCTTTCAGGGAGAATTTCCAAGCTTTCTGTGTGTCTGTGTCCATGTACTAACAATAAAGCATTTATTGGTTGCTGTGGTTGTACCATTTTTGGTACTCACACCTCAAAGAGACATAGCTTATTTTGGGTGAAACACCTTCACCGTTATTCCCCATGTGTATGTGGACTAATTGACAGAGAAGCATTTCTCAAAGCTGCTCGGATTTTCCACCTTGTCTACAAAAAAAAAAAAGCACTTGAGGCTAGTGGCTCCTCATTCATCCATTGTCCCAGAGACAAAGGAGGGATTCTTCGTCCAACCGAAGTGGGATTGCGACGAAGCAACGTGTGGGCAGAGACTGGGGTTAGGCGAGCATTGTGCTTATTAAGGTCATCTCCCTCGGTGGGCTGGTCAGAGAGCGCACTCGCTGAATGCACGCCCTGCCATCAAGGCTGAGATTATCCTCCCCTAACCCTCTAAGGGCTGGAGCCTAATGCACGTTTTAGAATAAGTGCATGGAGCACAACAGTCTTGCATGCCTCTGGGTGAACAGACTGAACGGACCACCACAATGGGCTTGATGTATGAAATAAGATGGGACCACTTCACCGGCTCAGTCCCTTGTGTGCAGATTGTTCAGTAGCAAGTAAATCTCTCCAAATAGTCAAAGCAGGACTTTCCAATGGTATTCTAACGACTGTGCGCACTGACGTCAGCCGTCACAGTGGGTGAGTGAGCTCCTGTCGATCACCTCCCATTCATTCTTCATGAGCCTTGAGCTGAACGCTTCCTGCAGAGCAGCAGGCTCGACTAAAGTTCACTGTGGTGGACGAGTCTCAGTCGCACCAGGAGGGGACTGTCTGCTTATTACTGTATTTCATCCAGGCGTGACCTTTTTATTGGGTCAGGACTATAAACATACTTTCCAGGCAGACACAATATTATTACCAATGTCCTGCAGAGATTTTCTCAAACCCGATAATAACTGACTTCAAAGGTCTTAGATTTAGTCTTAATCTAGCTTGATTGCTAAACTCGCTGGGGAGGAGGAGCCAATTTTCAATGTCGTGGTCAACCACGACAGACAACGACTACTCACTGCCTTTAGAGATGAAGTCTTAATGTCGGTTGCCCCAACCAATAAATTGACAAGTTTTATAAAAAGCTAAAAATTGTATTCGTAATCTTACGGTCTGCAAAAGGACGAGGGCAATTTACATGGTGTTTCACGCTGTCAGCCACATTCCTTTATGAGCAGAGCCGGCATGCCTTTTTCCGCTAAAGGTCACAAGACGATGCTTCAGAACGTCCAAGTAAACGGACCTTCTGGGGACCTTTTATAATGGGCAATGTGGGTGAATTGTCCTGATAAAACCCTCCAGTATTGTACAGTGGTGTCTCTCCGTCATCTGAAAGCCTCAGAAGGAATTGGAAATCGTTAGACTACCCGTCCACTCAAGTATTTTGATTTGATCTAAGTGGTAAGATATCAGACAGACGCAGACTTGCACCATTGAGACGGTTGGAGTATAAAATCTGTGTGAGGCAAATGGATCCAGACCCAGACCCAGGGGTCCTCTGCCCCGAGCCACCAGCTGTGGATCTGATTGGGACTTTTGTTTGGTAATCATTGTGCCCTTCCAGCTTTTTTTACTGCATTACTGCAACAGGCGTTATATATTTCTGGACTCCATCCCTTTTCGAATGGGGTACTAAACTTGATGGATGTCAGACCCTGGACCATTTCTACTGGTACAGGACTCGCCTTTTAAAATAAAACCCTTTTATTTAGTTGATTTCGGTCAGTAGGATGAAGACAAAAAAACTCAAACAACATGAAGTGAAACATGTTTTTCTTCCTGTCTTTCTAAATCTAAATGAGAGGCATAAATAGGATAAGTGGTGTTTCTATGTGATCGTGAGGGTAAAATCCCCCAATAAAAACATTGAAATCAGTGAGGCTGTGAGCGGAGCCCTGAGTCAGAGTCTCCATCTAGTGAGAGGAGTTCAGAACTGCAGCCGTGATGAGCGCATGATCAGCTATTTGTACACATTTAAATGACATTATATTGAATGTGGTTGGTTTATATCAGTAGACTAACTATAATGTCTCGCAAACACAGAACATAACAAGTCCTTGTTTTTCCTCCTTCTTTCCAGTTGTACAACCTCAATATTCCAAAGGAAATCATCCAATCAGCACTTATCTTCTCTTGAGACGGATTGTCAAGTCAGCCATGGAACAGAAGGCAAATGAGGTGTGTGAAAGCCTGATGGAGAAGATGGAGCACATCGGACCAGATTGACTCTAATGTTTTGTTTCCGTCCCTAGTGTCCCACCACCACGTCTCCTCAGAAGTACATGAAGAACAGGTCCAAATCCACAGAGGAGATGCAACAGACCAAGAAGGTTAGAAATAACCTGACATTAACGCAGATTTTTTTTTTTTCATGGTCAAATACTTTTTATTTGGTATTTTATCTAATGGGACTCCCCTGTCACACACATTACAGTCCTTCTCTTCTCAAAAATCCCTCCCGGGCAGACCAGAGCTGGACAAAGTAAAGGTGAGATGTGCACACATATTTCCATTTGTACTTGTTTGTAATTGCACTTTAAAAAAATAAATATTATTAATACCACACTTATATACTACTACTAAAATACTCTTGTGCACGTGATTATATAGTGTTTCTAGATTAACATTGTTGCATATTTTTCCAGTAAATGTTTTGAAGTTTGAGCTCATTTGAACTCCTTTCATGTTCGATCGCAGCGATATATCATGTTCTGTACGATCCTCTTACAGCTATGTGAGAACCCTGTGGCTCTTAGTCAGCTTTTCTTTTTCAGCCTTTTAACTGTGCATTTTTTATTTTCTCAACCCTCAAAGACGCGCTTCATCTTCCTGTTTATCATAAACTTCAAAATCACAAAAGTTCTCTGGGCACGAACAAGAAAAACATATTTCTAGAGTTGCAAAATCTGTAGTGGAGTAAAGTAAACTTCTAAGCTTCAACAGAGTACAAATCCCTTACATGTGTACTCATGTACAATACTCCAGATTAAATGTTCTTGGTTGTATTTCAGAGTCTAATCCATAAAATATATTACTTTGAAATGCAGTTGAACTGAATCTGTATATTTCTGTTTTTTAGGAGTCATCCGAAGGCTCCGACACGCCGTCGTCCTCCACTGAGGAGCTAAAGTGACAAAGGGAAAGACATTCGAGTCAAGCCATCAAGTTACAAAATCTTAACATGCATACAAATGTAATTCAAGAAAACATTCAAATCATTATTCAAGATATTTGTGAACTAGATTAGAAAATGCACAAGTAAAGGATTGGTGGAACAAAACATACAAAATGGGCCAAATTGAAGACACACACACACACAGTCCAAATGATTGAATCCATTGCTTGTAAACCTGTCATGATGCTCCTTTGTGGTAATGTGAGTGGCGTATACTTACCAAACTGAATATATACATTCATTACGTGTGTGTGTACAATAAAGTGATGCTGTTAACTGGATCAGTCTTTATCAAGAAGAGTCTCCTTTTTATTTCCACTTGAAAGATAAATGCAGCCATTTGGAATCACAGACTGGAAAATAATGCAATATAACAGCAAATGATGCGACATAACAGCAGATCGTCAAAACGCTGTTTCAAACAGCCTTCAAATAAATGGGTCATTGGCTGAAAACCAATTTAACAAACAGGTCCCTGATAAACCACTTCATAATACTGTGCCTGTTCATTATATTCACGAACACACTAATTAAATCACAAAAAAATACAACTTTCTATGGACAACTGTCTTCAGGTCAGGAAAACATCAAAACTGCACTAACACGCAAACGCGTCATCTAGGGATTCCCCAATTATTTTGATCATATACCATGTGGCTGTCCTCTACCTGCAGTTCCTGAGACAAAAATATGTAGAATGCTATGATATCCTTTTTTTCAAAACTGCTCATTTTGCGATTGACTTACCAAACCAAAAGCTGTTTTCATTTCTCAGATGGGGTTAAGGTTAGAGAGCTTGTGTTTGGGCAAAATATCGTCAACACGATTGAGGATGTTAAAGCTGTAATTCAGTGCGTGTTCATAACTGATGGATTGCCTCCTAAACTATATGTCCAAAGATGTGTCTATAATTCCCATCACTCAGATTACAAGCTGTAAACTCTCTAGAAGCATTATGTATCCCTCACTGTAGATTAACGCGGGATAGCGGAGCCGCAGAGAAGGATCAACAGCATGCACCTTCTGCTCATTGATTGGCAGGTGATTTGAGTGGCAGGATGGCGTCCGATGACCCCGCGGCCTCTGTATGCTTCATCCCCGGCTGACATTCCCATCTGTAAAGGGGATTAACGGCATCCTGGAGAGGGGGTGTACCAAAGAGCTGTGGATTTGCGCCAGATATTTAAACATGTGCACGTCCGTATGTGTGTGCAGGTCCTCTGCTTAATGCAGCACAACATCTCGAGGATTGATCCCACCGCCACCATCGATGGCCGCAGCCTCGGCTCTGCTCCAGCTGCCTGCACAACAACAACAACAGAGCAGTCATCGCTCTCTCTGGCTCTCAAAGTTTGGAAATTAACAACTTCACTCTAGTGGGTTATTAAGTCCTTCTCCTCTGAGTTCATGGGGGACATCTGAGGTCTGCAGATTTGGTTGAGAGCATTGCTGACATGACAGAACCAGAGTGTTAAAAATTACCCTTTTACCTCGGGCAACAGGGTGCTCACCCCATGGTGAGGACGACCTCGTCTGAGGGTTGTGGGATGTGAGTTAAGAGGAAAAACATCCCTGATATTTAATTTCCATTCGCAGCATGCTTGGCCTTAGATCCTGAAAAACCACCACATGCATTTGAACGTTCTGCACTACTCATGCAGGCTAAGCTTGACGGGCTTGAAATGCTGCTACTGACTTGTAGTACGGAAGAAATTATCATTTATTACCCTGACTTTATGTTCCAAACTGCGGTGCGTGATCAACAGTTGTTGTACACAGCTGTCCGGATGATATGAGTGGACTTGAGAAGCTGGTGCAGAAATGGTTCCCCTCTCCTAACTTTTGCCACTAGGTGTCACATTTCTCCTGCTCTTTCACGTGAAACGAGAAGAACCTCCAACAAAGATGATCATTAATCCCATCCAGCATTCCTCTTCATTTTGGATTCTTTATCTGGCCCCAAGTCAAGGAGAAAAATAGCTGATTGAACAAACAACATTCATCACCTAATACTCAACCTGCTTTCCCAACCCGTGCACCATTAAGTCATGTCTCTGTGTTAATGATTAACAGAGACCTGCGTGATGGTGGAGCAAGTTGATCGACGAGAGATGAAGATTTACCTGGTCGCTTATTTAAAGCTGATTTACAGTTGAGTTCAAGGCTTTCCTCACCTCAGCCGCTTTCAGACAAGGTCAGATTTACTGTGGATGCTGATACAAAATATGCATGGTAAGTGACTTTTCTTCACCAATACTGAAGTTCTTATTTAAACGTGCCATTTCTGATTGAGCAACACCTCATACATTGTTTAGAAAATATTTCACGTGTGGAGGATTACTCACCATGAACTGTTACAAAAGTAAATCTCAAGCAGATTTAGGCAACACAAGTAAAGAGAATATGTAAACCATATAACCAAAAGGAAAACTCACAAATAATGTAGAAATGCCACAGATCTGTGACAGTAGGGCAGTTTCATTAGATGATAACATTTACTCGACAAACACACACAATACAATCAAGTACATTCAGCTGCAATCTATGGAAACTTGTCTCACTCTGGCAAACGTATGCTACGGAAGCCCTCTGCAGATCAGAACCTGCAGCAGGATGCCACACACCATCACAATGATACTCAACTCACTTCCACCTTCTGTGCTTTGGACTGTGGAGAGACCCTTTAAGATCGAGAGACTACTTGCAGCTGCAGGATATTAAGGGCAAGACAAGTTGCATGGAAACTTGATTGAGACAAAGGGTCAATTAGTTGAGTGGCGAGACGGTTCCTGGCGGTGCATGCAGTTTAAGCCTCCGTTTCCACCTCTAAAAACCAAGGGCACCTGCCAATTACAGTGTGGGCTGCCTTTGTTCTCTTCTAATTGCATGACTGTTGATCTGAGTAACGCGGTGACACATGGGCTCACATGCAGGCACGTTGGTCTCCTTGGACTGCTTTTTTCCAGCTGCAGGTGGCTGATAAACAAATTCCCACTTGTGTATTCCCTTTACAACAGAGTCAACCTGTGATTTGAATGGCCTCATGTCCTCATAAGGCATTCAAAGTACCATGTCTTCTCGATCTATAGCTATTGTGTCCTCGGGGCGGAGCACAGGACTTCCCGACAATGGTAACCTGGTCTTCAAATTCTATCATTCACTTTTCTAAATCCCTCAAATCCCCCAGCTGAGCATATACTCCGTTATTCCCTACGAGGTGTGATAATCAAAAACGTTTTCCCAGTGCTCATTTAGGGAGTCACTGTCTTGAGGAATGCAAGGCCAGAGGAAAAGCAGAAAGTGTCAACCAGGCAGACCCAGGTCTGATAAGGATGAGTTTTAGAGACACACCGAGCACCATACAACACTCACGCTGTGTTTTGTTCACATTATGTTAGAAGACCACACATTGCATGTGATTGGATCTTGTGTTGTGGCGAGAGGACCTGCTCCTCCTCAATGCCAGTTTAGGGCCAATAGAAATCTTTTCTTTTATATCTAACAAGAAATACAAAATATAATGTTTCTCCTTATGTTAGTCAGTTGTTCTTCCGGCCTGCGTGCTGCCAGAACTGCTCCTGCCTTTGCAAACGCAGCGCTAATACTTGACCTGTAATCTGGCAAACACATCTACCAGAACGAGAGAAGTTGTTTGGCTGAATCCTTCCAGATGTCCCCAACCGGGCTTCCAATTTTGTTCACGATCTTTCAGGTGGGATGATGATGCACGGCACTCCGTTCTCCTCACAGCCCAAACCTCCGCAGGAGGAGGACAGGGAGTCGGGCATTGGCTCCAACCTCGACCTCCGAAGCTTTGAGGGCCAAAACCTCCCGAGCCAACCTGCATTCAGGGAGACGGAGCGACGTCCCAAACAGGAAGGTACAACAGCGGCGTTAAGAGGAGAGAATTTTGCACTGGTGCCCCCAGGTTGGCGGCGGGTTTCGATCTTTTCAAAGAAGACAAATAACAGCAGCAGAAGCCAAACCAAATGCTCATTAGATAAGGACATGCTCAAAGACACAGAGGGCCAGTGGGACCATGCAGTCTGGGCAGCGGAGGCCGAGTCCTGCTGTCACTCTGCAGCATTCGGCCTCATACGTGTTTCCACCACAGTACGCATAATGTCAGATGGCTTCGCTCTCTATACGTCATGTGAGATGAGTTACTGATGCCATATCTCTCATCTAGAACATATTGGGGAAATGGCCGTCAACTAAAGGCTGAACGTATCAAATTTGTGTGTTCATCTGTGATGTGGTGATTTAGAGCTCTGAACTCTACTGTGTTGTGAAGGTAAACCATCTCCCTGTTTGTTGTTGTTTGCAACAGTAAGCTGTCTGCGGAGCACAGAAGTGAGTCAGAGCAGTAAGACCAGGCAGCTCCTTATCAGTCTATCCAAGATCCCTCTCCTCCTCGTCCTCTTCTTCCTCTTTGTTTGCTCCTTGGACACGCTGAGCTCTGCCTTCCAGCTGGCAGGGGGTAAGTATAGCCCTCCCCCCCCTTTGCGGGTTGATAGTGACTAAGCCGGGTGATGTTTGACAAATAAGTGAGTCACTGCATCACAGTTCACACTGTCCTGCTGGGGCTGTGCTGTATAATTTGCCACAATGCTTCATCTGGTGACCTTTCTGGACACGAGGGAACGAGAGGTTTGAATTTTGTTCCGCATCGCTCTCGCCAATTGTGTCGTAACTGAGACCAGCTTTTTTCTGTTTGTGTCTGTGTGTGTGTGTGTGTGTACATGGGCGGCATAATTAACCAGGTAAAGTGGCAGGGGACATTTTCCAGGACAATGCAGTGCTGTCCAACCCTGTGGCGGGGCTGGTGGTGGGGATTTTGGTTACGGTGCTGGTCCAGAGCTCGTCCACCTCTACCTCCATCGTTGTCAGTCTAGTGGCCTCCGGATGTGAGTAGGAGCATAAATCTGTGTGTAAATGTGCCTGCACCACATTACGTAGCACAGGTTATTTTAGGTTTTGAGTAAGATTCATATGGTTTTTCTCTCCAGGTAAACAAAAAGAGGTCAGGTACACATAATACGCTACATGAGGTGTTAGCTTCATAGAAAATAGGTAATAGTAGTATAGTATTGTGTTTTGTGTCTTCCCATAGGAACTTAAGAAAACATTAATTAGCATCATTCTTAACAGAAACAACACCTGAATTGTGAATCTTATGTGTGATTTTCACCTTACACTGACCTGAAATTTTCATTGTGAAATTTTACTGCTACAGTGACCATTTGTAGAAACCATCTGAGAATTATTGTAATTTAGAAGGTTGGACTGGGATCAGATATAATAAAATCAGATCATTTCACACGCTGTAATATCTCAACATCGCATAGTTAATCGCGCCTTATAAGGCCATTACACGGTGAGGTTATGACCTCTCTTTTTCTAATGATCACAGCTTTCCTTTCCGTAAGTCAAACTTAAAGGCTCTTTGCGGGTTAAGATGCTACCACTCAACTGCAGATTACAATCCCCTTTGCTCCCAATTAAAACTGATGCTGCATTGTGAAATGCCGCAGGTCATGTCTTGTGTATTTCTGTCGGTGGACATTTATCCATTGACATTGTTTTGTTTCTTAAGCACATAGTTTCAAGGAAGACAACTTTGCCGTAAGATGTTTTACCACGGTCTGACTTCACAGTGCTGGAGGTGAGGTCGGCTGTTCCAATCATCATGGGATCCAATATTGGGACTTCTGTCACAAACACCATAGTGGCCATGATGCAGGCTGCAGAGAGGACCGAGTTTCAGCGGTAAGTGAAGAGCGCTGGCGAGGCACAGGGGGAGTGTAAGTGCAAGGCTCAAGAGCAGGGAAGAAGAAATCAAAATGGAAAACTGAAGAATGTAAGTGGAGAGATGGAGGAACAATGGGGGAACGTGCAGAAAGTGCAGAGGACCAAACACAGGAGGGTTGAAAGGAGAACTTCAGCAGCTGCTCGCCTAACACTGACGGCACCAACTCACGTTGATCTCACGCCCGTATTCCTTTGGCACGAAAATGTACGTTACTCAACAGATGGCACGTGGCTTAATCTGTGTCTGGTAAAATAAATATAATTTATTAAACTTTTGGTAATACTCACACACTGAGTCCAAACTAAAATACCCATTTCATCAGACACATCTCGAAAAAGTCGAGCTACGCGAAAACAGATTAACAAGCAATCACTGTGAGTAGTTGATCACGCTGATGGCTGACCTTTGATAACAGATGATGACTGTGACCCACTGCAGTGCATTTGCCGGGGCAACGGTCCACGACTGTTTCAACTGGCTGTCGGTGCTGGTTCTGCTGCCGCTGGAGTTGGCGAGCGGCGTCATAGTCCGTTTGTCGCAGCTGTTGGTCAACAGCTTCAAGCTTCGGCCAGGGGAGGAAGCCCCCGAGATGCTCAAGGTCATCACCAAGCCAGTCACCAAGCTCATCATACAGGTAAATCGGACAATAAGCATTTTTTGTTACCAAGCATTTGCAAACCACCCTCGCCCCAAACAGATCAACCAATCACAGCAACTGTAACTACGGCGGCAATTACAGCAATGATAGTGTCGCTTTCCACTATTACTTTGGTTTGAAAGCTTCCTAGAAGCCTTTGGAGTTGAAATGCTAAGCAGCCAGCCTGGGTAATGTTTGAAATATCATTCTGATTTCACAGTTCTCCTCTTGATTATCACTTGTGCGAAAAAATCGTTTTTGCCTGCAACATGTAGCTTTGACTCCAGTTTTCAATCACAATATCAGATAAACATTTAAGACCCCTTTACATGATTCTCAAATTAGAATTCAGCTGGAAACAAAAAAAAGGCGTAAGTCATAAGTATTACTGATGACATGGGTGCCAACTGGCGTTGACAGTGACGCACGATACCAGGAACATCTGAAATCACCGGCTAAATCGAATCAGCGAGTCTAAATGTTCTTTTGTAGAAAAAGGCCCACAAGCTAGCCTCAAACCGTTGCAGTTTGGGCTGGCAAAGTTGTCAGTTGCTGGCTTGAAACGAGAGGCGTACTTTCTTTCTACCCCAGTCTAAAAATCAAGGGCCAGTTATTTGAAAATTGGGTGGCTAATCTGCCTCTGCAGAAGGCGATAAAGCTCGAGAGTTATTGCAAATGTAACCAAGTGGACGGAGCCTAACGAACCAATTACTTGTCAGATGCGACGAAGGAGCTGACTGCGAGTTGAATACTATACATTTGCTCTCCTCTTACTCACTGAATTGAAAACATGAGAAGAATATTTCGGCTTCTTCTTTCACCTTCAGCTAGACAACTGTGTGATCACAGCGATCGCCATGGGGGATGAGGACGCAAGGAACAGGAGCCTGGTGAAAGAATGGTGCCAGACTGACCTTGTTATGGTAATGGCCCTGTCTCCACTGATGTCTCCTGCTAACATAGACACATTGTGTCACGCACTCTCGCCAAATAGAGCATGGGACGGCTGCCATTGAACCGTGTTGCAAAATTGTGTTTTCATCACGGATGCCTCTTTCTTTCTTGTCTTTCTTACCCTCTACAGTGCACTGGCAATGAGAGCACTGCAAACTGTGGCCCCAGTCATAGCATGTCCCAATCTTCACCAAAGTGTGGGTTGAAACTCAATAATCCTTGCCACCCTTCCCCTCTTTTGTTAAGTGTGAATTGCTTTTTTCTTGTTTACTTTCCGTATAGTGTGTTTGTTGCATGATTTCCTGACGGATGCCGGTTGTGTCTCTGCAGGTCGGCATTTGTTTGTCTCCAGCGGCCTGTCGGACCTCACGGTGGGCCTGATTCTCCTGGCAGGCTCTCTGGCTGTCCTCTGTACCTGTCTGCTGCTTCTGGTCAAAGTGCTCAACTCTCTCTTGAAAGGCCAAGTGGCAAAGGTCATCCACAAAGTGGTCAACACGGGTGGGCTTTGCTTTTTTGAGCCGCCGCAGGTTTGACATAGGATCTCGTGCATGATGCAAATGAGCAAACGATCCAAGAAAACATTGCATGCAAATTATCCCAGAGAGACTGCGGAGGAGAAGATGGGAGTGTTGATGTGTTGGTGCATTTGTGTAACTCCCAACCCACCTCTCTTCATCTCAACAGACCTGCCGTATCCGTGTGGGTGGCTGTCGGGATACATGGCCATGTTTGTGGGTGCCGGGGTGACGTTTGTGGTCCAGAGTAGCTCTGTTTTCACTTCAGCAATGACTCCCCTAATAGGTGGGTGAAATGTGCTTTCACAGCAACCTTAAATCGATTTTCAAGATGCAATGATGATGCAAGAAATGTTTCGGTACAGCAGGCATGACGACAGAATTGTTGGGGGCAGTGAAAAATCATCAGCATCATGTGAGACAGAAAGAGTTAAAGCATGAAAATCTATGTGCACAAAATAGATACGTCATACATTAGAATTAAGAGGAATATGTGACGAGAGTAGACACTGAACATGGAGAAATATCACAATAGCCCACAAAGAACTGCAAATACCCCTAAATAATAATTTATATTTACACTATTTAATTTTTTGTATTCTTAAAACCTCCTAAATTCTTGGTGACCTGTTGTGCACCCTTCTCTCACCGTCTCACTTGTGTGGCTGCTAACAGCATTAAAGCCAGTTAAGTACACAACAATAGTCATCACCTCAGTTTGAGTGTGAAACATCTGGCTCCACCGCTTGGTTATTACTCAAATGTAGTACACAGTGAAGCAACTCTTAAAAAGGTAGTTTGGTTAGTTTTCTCCTTGCTGTGGAGAAAGTTTGTGCCCGGACATGGTTGGACTGAAGTAAAGCTTCTCCTCATCTCATCCTGTTTCACCTCCGGGAGTCTCTTGTAAGTCTCTCCTTTGAGTGTGGAAGCACTGTGCAAAGATCAGAGGTCACAGGTCAGACTCTGCTTCTGGCATTGTGAGCTTAAGTTGTCGTGGAACAATAATGTAATTTAATAGTAAACTGTTCTGTATCCAAGGCCACTGTTTTTCGTATAAAGTTTGTATGTATATTGAGCAAAGGTTTACCTGGCGGGTCCTGTTGTGTATTTAATGGCTAATCCAAATTATTTTGTTCTCATAGAGGCGGGGGAATACCACACATTTCCTTGTTGGCTAAATAGCTCATTTATCAGCCAGATGAAGCCAAATAAGGACACAACCCAGCGTTATTTCTCTTGATTGAGTCTTGTGGAGTTTGTAAGAACATGTTGCATAGCTGATATCTTATGCCACTGGCTAAATGAAGCGTGTAAAATCAGCAATGCCTGAGTCATCAGCCTGCTACTCAGTGATAAATGGGAGATGGGAATCATATGTCATTTATAACAAGAGTCACTAGTTTTTTTAAACATTTGTAGGCAACAGACTTCAACAACGTTCTCAGTACACTCGTTTTGTTGATGTGGTTTTAGCTTCTCCTCCATCGCAGTTGATTCTGCTTTCTCTTTTCTATTAAGGCCTCTCGTTGAATTGTCCTTGTGTGCCCTGATGTCTCCGTCAGGTATTGGTGTGATCAGCCTGGAGCGGGCCTATCCCCTCACCCTTGGGTCCAACATGGGCACCACCGCCACAGCCCTGCTGGCCGCTCTGGCGAGTCCAGGGAACAAGCTGGCCGCCGCCATGCAAGTAAGCGAGGCCCCTGATCAGATGCCGATTTCAAAACCACGGCAGAAAAAGGAAAAAATGAAATTAATCAATTCTCCACTGATGGTTGTGATGAAAGTATTTTCGCGATTGTGAATTTATCCATCAGCAATCTGGGGGGCAAGTTGTTGGACGCCTCAGGGAGAACAGTTGTTGATCATGTCTTTTTTTTTTTTTATAGAAACCTGTCAAAAACGAAGACAATCTAGTTTCATATACGGATGGGATGCCACATGCTGACTCTCACGCACGTTTTCATCTTCTCATTCCATGCAGATTGCATTTTGTCACCTCTTCTTCAATGTCTTTGGCATCCTGCTGTGGTACCCGCTTCCCGTCACGCGCCTGCCGATAACGATGGCTCGTGTCCTGGGCGAGCGCACCGCCAAGTACCGCTGGTTCGCCGTCCTGTACCTTCTGCTCTGCTTCTTGCTCCTGCCGTCGCTGGTGCTCGGCCTCTCGCTGGCGGGCTGGCGAGTGATGGCTGCCGTCGGGGCTCCGTTCCTGGGAGTGACCACCTTCATCGTCATGGTAAACGTGATGCAGGCCCACAGCCCTCGCCATCTGCCCACCAAGCTCCGGAGCTGGGACTTCCTGCCCAAGTGGATGCGCTCTCTGAAGCCGCTCGACCGGCTCATCACCAAGGCAACCGCCTGCGGCTGCTCCGGACACCAGGATGCCCGGGGAGAAGACGGAGGAGACGGGCGTATGTCGACAAAAGAGATCGTTCGGGAGTCCGCCCAGAAAATGGAGCAGCTGGCTTATGACAACCCAGCTGTGGAGTACCTGGATGAGAGCAGACCAGGTGTGAGGGTGCTGAGGCTGAAGGGGTTGGAGCGATGTAACAGCACTCCACTGTAAGTCACACCCATGAAACTGCTATAATTATTTTAGTCTGGATTTAGGGAATGGATGGGTTGCTAGACGATGCCATTTTAAATGGTTAAAAAATGAATTCTTTGTGATTTGTAGTTGATTTATAAATGGAATACAGCCGACCGAAGCCGGGCTAAATATCATGGACTCAGTATGACATTCGCATCCGACTGAGAAAGCTTTTTTTTGTCACCTGGCGACGAGCACGATGATGAACTTTAAAACGTCATTAATTATGAACTACTTAAACAGAGCATAACATCTAGCATAGCAGGATATCTGTATTAAAGGTGCACAGTTTTTACCAAATACTGGTGCTATGGAACTATGTTTGTGTGAGTGTGTCCCCATTTAGTTTCGGCCCAAAATGTACCAACTAACCCAATGAAGAGGAGGGCGGTGTAGGATATTAGAAATAAACTGACGACCGGGTTCATAAAATTAATAAAAATGCATATATTGCACACCAGAATACAGCCATGATTCTGAAACTGTGTAATCACTAAAGTAATGACAATATTGTAAAACCACTGGAATTCTGCAGCTGTAATAGAATAATACCAATGTACAGTTATGATTGTATTTAATGTAATGTAATCAACTGGAATGCATGCATGTAATACTTGCACAACAACTGATATTGACTAAGGGCCATTTGAAATCCGAGTTACATTGAACTCACCAGAAGACCACTCCCAGAGGTGTGGACACTAACTTTCACACCTTTAAGCATTGGTATAAATACCTGTAGGAACCATTGTTCTAGACTTCACTGGTGGAGGCGACAGACGGGCACTAGGGATGGTCCAAAGGACTGACCTGGGGCCTGTTGGTTCCAGAGACCAGCTGCTCCTCAGCTGAGATGTTCTTTTTACCACAACACCATCTCTTTTATTAAATACATTTGATTTAACCTTTCGATCCGCGATGCCCTCTGTCCGTCCGGTGTTTCTTCATTTTTGAACACTACAGCGGCCGCAGGATGGCGTAAAAGACAAACTAATACATATGACAGAAAATGTAAACATTCAAATTTCTGCGCAGGATTTCTGCAGAGCAGCTTCAACTTTAATTGTTTTGTCCTGCTAATTTATTCAGAAACCAGTAACAGTGGAGCAGCATTTTAAACATTTTTAAAACAGCCGTGTTCAGTTCATAACCTCACTTGGTGCATGTCCAGTCATGTCTACAAAGGCTTTATGTGAGTACTGCAGTCCTGTCAGCTCACACATTTTAAGTTTTTGTTTTTGTGCCAAGAACAGGGGTAAAGAAAAACGTTTAATGACAAGAATTGTATCAAATGTTTGATCATAATGCTAAATTGCATGTACTCTCTTGTTATGTAAGTATTTGTGGGCATCTGAATACACACAAAGGATTCACATAATCATCACAATGCTTCTCATTCTGCTAAGGCGTGTGTGTGTGTGTTTGAGTGGGAGAGTATGCACACTCGGGAGGTGTTGTTAATTGTGTGAATATGTGCAGTTTACTCTGCTGCACCGTAACTCTTGATTGTGCTTTAAAGACGTGTGTGTGTTGATTCCCGCCCTGAAGTCTGCTCATTTAACGGGAGGATGAAGTCTGACTGGATGTATTTTGAGGGGGCAGACTTTGCAAACAGGATGAATGGTGCACATTAAATAACTACTGTCTCTCAGAACTGCCTGAAAGAAAGACTTGAAAGGATGAAAGAAAATGTGTTGGTTTTTTTGTGCACGGACCCCACTAATCTGCAGACGTACACGCCAGACTCTTTTTGTTTCAACAAAAGCAGCTTTGACTCATCACACTCCTCTGATCCTGCCCCGCTCTTTAAAGTTGAAATGAGATGTAGCCATGTCCTCCGCTGGCAGTCTGGACAGGGTTTACATCATCCGGCTGAGTCTAACGTGAAGCCCGGAGGCATTTGAGAGCAGTCTGAATTGGAAGGGGAGCCAGAAACAAGTAACCTACCATGACACTTACCCCTGCACGCACACAAAAAGAGCACACACCTGTGGTGCAGCAGCACTCTCTTCTCCCAGCGAGAGCTGATGTGAGTGCAGATTGTTTGTGGGGAAGTGCGGTTGGGATGCGGTCCAGCCGGGTCGGCTCACAGTCCTGCCATGGATTCACTGTGGTGACTTGGCGCTGCCACGGCTCTCTGGCCTCAACACTCTTTTTCAGCCACCACATTATTACCAGATAGTAAAGTCATATATCTGATCAACAATGATTCAAATGTGCACGCTTCCAAATGACCCTTTTTCTTCAAATATCTGGGATCAGTAAACAATTGTACATCTGTAACAGCTCTTCCTTGGTGATTATTGTGTTCACATGAAGTGGAATCTGATCCAAACACATGCTCATTAACGCCTAACACTCATTTACTACAAATCCATCTCCAGGTTACATAGAGGTGTGTGTGTGTGTGTGTGAAATCTCTTCCCAGCCTTGTTAATATGCACTTCACGTTGCTTCTAATGGCTCATTTCCTGAACCTTTTCAACCCTTAAGACCTTAGATTCATACATTTTGCTTCACTATAAGTGCAGATGCTGTTTTAATCTATCAACAGCTCTCTTTTTGTGGGGTTAGATGTTGTCAAAGTTCCTCAGGGGGACAAAAGAATAGAGTTCTGTGATGAAATGTGGCAACATATTTCTACTAGGCTGCCTTCAGCAATAATTCGAGTTGTAACTTTTAATAGCAACAAATTGTAGCACTTAAATTGTACTTATAAAGGCTCTTATCTATAGCAAATTGTAAATTGGCTTATTTGAGGAAATTGTACTTGCTTGTTTCTTGCTCTTCTGAGTTTGTATCCCTATGGTTGAAATGCACTTATTGTAAGTCGCTTTGGATAAAAGCCTCAGCTAAATGACGTCATTGGATTGGTAATTAATAATTACAAATAATGGCCGTGCCCGTGATCCATTCAGAGGAAATGAAGCCGGATTCATTGCTTAGATAGTAATTGTAATATCTTCCTTTTCTCATCTATAAAAGGTCAAATGCAGTATTAACTTTCTTTCAAACCGGTTTTAACTTGGTAGGTGCAACCTGTCTTGCCGTCATGTAAAATAAGACAATTTAAACTGAATACATTGATGTCAGAAACCCATCGACAGAACACACCAGATATTCTGTGCAGATAAAAAGCTGCGGCTTTTCATTGAACATTATGCGAACAAATCTCAGCCAGATGTGAAAAAAATATGTTTCACTCATGATTTGGCACTTGAGATTCATGCCGGTTCCGCAAACATAAACTGGGAGTGAATTTCACAAAATGCCGACGGATCATTTATATCATACATTTCTGGGATGATTTGTTTCCATTTATTCATCGTTTCTAAAGTAATAACCACAGTAACAGAATTGAAAATGATCCATTATCGTTCAACATGCCCGTTGGCCGTTTAGTCTGCCTTTTAGGAACACATGTTTACCCAAACTTCCAGAAAATGCTTCACTCATATGCCAACGTTATAATGTGTCCAAATGTTTTTGCATTTGTTCTTCGGATAATTACGAAATGGTCGCGCGTAATGGAGTCGTGATGATCCATCTAAATGATAACTGTTTTTTGATGTGATGATAGATGCGCATGCCGGCACATATGAGTGCAGGATCAGACCGATGGCCATGCAAGACTGAGAGAGAATTTATTAAAGTACGGGGAAGTTGTTGGGAAAATTCAAACAATGTTAACAGTTTTCGAACAAGAGTATAACATCTAAAACCCTTCCATGCTTTTAGTGGCTACATAATAATCACTTTCTTTGCAGCACAACACGTTTGTATTGAATGCATCTAAAATACAGAGTTTTTGAGGCCAAACAAGCTCTCCCTGCAGGTAAAAGTGGGTGATTGATTTGAATATGTGTGCTATACTACTTTTTCTGACCCTGACCCTGAGTGGCAGTTACAGTTGTTCAGCTGCATGTTCAGTGGCTCCTGCAGTCATACTTCACTCCACTTTATTCTACCAGAACAGGAAGTCGAACAACGTTATTATCGGTATTTAGAGCCATTTGTGATTTCAAACTCTGCAGCATCAATTTAATGGAAACTATTTTTCAAATGTTCTTATAATCTGTCTCCGTGATGAAATTATGACATATTCACAAAAAAATGAACCTCTGTGCCGTGTCTAATTCACACTGTGTTGCGAAAAGAGAGGTGCAAGCATAATTTTCATGTGTCGACACATCACATTGTTTTGTCAGGATCAGACCAGTGGTTGAACACTGTGCACAACATTGTGAACAATAGCATTGAAACACAAGAGACATTTTTATATTTGCATACAATAATTCAATTTAATTTAAAGTTAACACCAGAAATGTGCAATATAACAGAAGTTAATCAGAAAAGAAGCTCAGACGCACCAGGAATCTGAAGTCATTACAGGTTGGCTTCTACTTTTAAAAACCCCTAGTCATCATGATCTGCAGAAAGTATGAGAGGAGGAATACGACAAATTGGGTTCGAAATGTTCGTCTTTCGCTTCTCACATGTTTACTTGAGTATTTTAATGACAAAATGTTGTATATCTTCACCATTGATTGATTGAAGCAATAATAACATCAGGCAGAACCTCTTTACTCAAACATCCCGTCATGTAATATCTGATACGAGAGGAATATTAGAGCATTAAACATGTGAGCCGTGCGGTGAACTCAAGGAGCGAGCGCTTGTTGGTTGAGTGGTGATTAGCTCATGACAAAAGGAAGAAGAGCTCCTTCCAAATAACGTTAAATCCGTCCAGAGAGGCACAAATACTCTTCAGAATTTGGTCAAAGTTAAGCACAAGGTGTTTTGGACTATTTAAAAAACTAAATGTTTTAGTTCAAATCTGATCACCAAAGGCAACGACTTCCCATTCAAGGAATAAGCATTAGACCAGCTCACGCCAACAAATACATTTAGGAAAAATTCCACACCCCCAGATGAATAACTGACCTCGTCCTCACATGGAAGCCCGACGACA